GTGTTTTTGAGATATATGATATACTGTGTCTTCTAAATTTTCAGTGATTCGGCACAGAACATTTCGTTTGTAATTTTTACCACAACTGGCTATATCTTTTTAGAAATCTATGTCGAAGATGATAAACGCAGAGCACATATAAATGACTAACAAAAACAGCACCGTGCCCATACTGAGTCACAGGTCCCGATCAAATGTCACACAGTAACTCCGTGCAGAACAATAAAATTACCGATCAAATTGTGTTGAATGTCACGCGCGCCTTTTAAATTGATTGATTCCAGATAATTTTTACTGAAAATGTAATATTTTACAATTGTAGGGATCAGAAAATATTACAGACATTTTGCTAACATGGCATAAGTTGGAAACTAATAATGACGGGTAAAAGACTAAATAAAGAAAAAAATAAAATCATGACTGTATATTATAATTTACCTTAAAACAGATTATCACAACGCTCTAAAATAAATTGCACCATAAAATAAATGTACCTAAAATCAGTCTGGTACCAAAAAGCTATAAAACAAACTGGAATGAATATAAAAATACTATAAAATAATTTAGCAACAGTACACTATATAACTACACTTTACGTACAAAAAACCTCCATTACAATACAGCCTTACATTCAAAAGATAAGAGAGTAATAATTGATTTTAAAAATAGACATTCTAATGAACACTTAAATTTACGGGAGCGGTCTACATTTTTACCATATTACCAATATATCATAAAATTGAACATTACATCACTTCATCTATATTCTAGGCTAAATCAATAATTAAATTTGAACTTCATATATAATCACCTGAAAACTCCACAACATACAAGTACCCCATTGATTTCTGTACATATAAAAGAATGTTAAGTTGGAAGATTTTTATGGTGGATTATTTTAGGTTTGAAATTTAATATAAACCTCATCACGTTTCAGTTAAACAAATTTGTGCGTAATTGTAGGCCATTATTTAAGACTATATTATAGGAATTTATATTAATCAAAGATAAAAATAAATTTAAATAATGATTTTGGGTTAAGACGACACATCGAAAAGGCTATCGCCGTACTGATCCGAGTGAATACATAATTTCTATAAAAACTTGAAAAAACGCTGTCATAAGGTCTAAAATAGCGTAGCGCCCGCGACGATTAAAAGCGCTTAGAAATTGTCAGAATCTTAAAATATATTTTTTTAAAAATTATTGATTTAAGTAATCAAAATAATGAGCAAGTAAATTATGAATATTGATGTTATGAATATATTTGAGTGATTCCCAAGCATATAGATTAAGTAATTTCGTTATAATTTCAACTATAGTGATTTTTTAGAGGTGTTTTCGCAAATAATTATGATCGGGTCAAAATTATACAATCGTGTTTTGAATAATCAAATTCAAGATAAAGACATGAATTTACCTATATCAAAATTCCACTTTCGTTAGTGGTGTCATAGTCCTATACTATTCGATGAAAGGAGATGCATTTTTTCACGGTGTCGTCTTAAGATTTATACATGGCACCTTTATTATTTTAAGTAAAACGAAATAATTTAAGAGCACCTTATTCAAGAATTATAAGCCAAGTTTAATGTTTATAGACCAGCCTATATCTCTCCTCATAAACTAGCCAATACTCTCACCTACAATATACACTGTGACTGGATTTTTTAAAAAAATTGGTAACATTCTCATGAAATGCTAAAGTATTTATTATAACTTTAAAAAAAGTAGAAGAAAAAAATTTGACAATGAATAAATATAAATGGTTACAGTTAAATTAAAGACTTCGAAGCAGAAGCGGATAAGGCAATTTTCATATCCGAAAAAAAAAACGCCATTCACTAAACTTTTTAATTATATTATTTGATAAATATTTATATTTTAATAGTAAAACTGACATAATATTTAATATTATGTAACACGGAAGGAAATCTTGAGGAGTAAACAAGCTAAATATTTAGTCAAACGGTGTTATTCATAAAAGTTACAAAAATATTATAGGTCACATAACAATGATGTATATATAATGCGGTCAATCTGCGAATATTCAACACTTGCTGTAGTTGTTTCCGCATTGTACTAGTAAATTAGTCTCGAATTTCATAAGCGGGTCTGAATCGTGTTATTTAAAACGTTATGTGTACTGCCTATAAGATTTAAGCTTTTAAAAATGTTATGCCATTACAAACTAAAATTCATTAAGTTTTCAAGTTCAATTAATTAAGTTGTAGATGTTACTAAAATGTTATAAAAGGTTCCATAACATTTTAGTTATAAACAAACAAACTTTAGGGTTTTTATTAATGAGACCGCTTAAAGTATTGAGAATATTCATATTATTGTCTTCCAATCTAATTTTGCTGTAAATTTAAACAATATTAAAAGCAAATTCTTATACAGAAACATTTATATGCATAATTTTAATATGTAAAGTGCGTGTGTTCTATCTTAACCGGAGTGAACTAAAGTTAGTCGCAAGTGGCTGCGCAGATATAGCTTTTAGGAACAAAATGGAGACAAGAAGCGGGGAGTGTGGACGGTAACCAAGACTAGAGATGCCAAAACGTATATTGCACGGTTACAATTACGTAAATACCCGATTTTCGTTATTTTTTTTAAATTTAATATTCTTTATTGCACACCACACAACTATCGATTATGATACGACTTAATTTATTATTTATTATGGTTAATTGCATTGCACCTTTTTTCATTCGTGTGTAAATGCAACATATCGTTTTAATATAGTAATTATGATGACGTGCATTAGATTTAATTTAAAAAATTAAATTTAAGTATTTTTCGAGTTAGTGAAGACAATGTTGTTACCGCCAATATCGTGTTTTTACTATATAATCAAACTTTTTATCCTAATACTTTAAAAGAAATATTCTTTCATAGAAATATATATTACAATAAACATAATTTTAAATTTCTTTCAAAATCGATTAAGACATAACACACTATTTTCATAAGCAATCTCGCCCCATCAGGCCGCCATGATCAGATTTCGTACGTGTGCGATGTCTCGGAGTCAACTTCAGCCCGGCCAAGATAATCTTAACATTACAACGTGTTGCTCTAGTCTAGTACGACATTAAAAAAAAACGCATAATACTCGGTATCGCTAGATATTCGACATAACTTTTATACACAATTAGTGAATATTTATACAGCTATCAATACTTCGCAAATGCATAATTTTGGAACAACCTGTACTAACAATCGCATACGAAGATCAATTAATGGGGGTCACGGGCATGGATTACAAAACGTGTTAATGAAATTAAGGTGAGAAAGAAACAAATAATTTGCATGCATTAGAATGAATTAAGTATACGGCCGTGGTAGCTCAGATGGTTAGCGCCCGCTTTAAATTTCACAATACGCGAGCAAACCGGGTTCGATCCCCGCCGGCACCAATGAAATTGTTTATTGCAATTTTAAGTGCTGATTTCCCACGTGCTCGGCGGTGAAGGAAAACATCATGAGGAAACCTGCATGTGTAAGAAATAAGAAAAAAAAATATTTCGAAGACATGTGAAGTTCGCCAACAAGCATTGGGGCAGCGCGGCGGACTATTCCTTGCCCTAAAATACTCTCAGAAATGAGAGGAGGCCTGTGCCCAGCAGTGGGACGTATATAAGCTGTAACTTTAACTTTAATGTATACGGCGTTGCCAAATTCCTACAAGAGCAGGGAAGCAGGCAATTTTAATATGGCACTTAGGTATTTAATATATGTTATGACATTTTACGCGAGCATTTCGCTCCGTGCCGCTGCCAAAAGACCACGCACCCGCGCTAAAATGAACCGAACAACGTTATCTATTTTACACTTTTACTTTATATTATGATATGAATGTATTTTACCTGTGGTTTATTTGCCTGTTTTATAACAATGTTTTAATTTAGTTTTATGTTATCGGAAAATAAAAAAAAATGGTCTAAATTCAAATTGAATCATTTTACATTACTACCAAGTAGCACTACCTACGTACTAGTTTAAGGTCGTACTAAACGCAACACGTCATATGTAATAAGATCCTAAATGTGTTTGCATTCTCGTCAGACCAATAAGTTTTTTATTGGTCTGAGGTTATTACAATATTAGATTGGAGCAGACATATGTGTGATGTCAATAAAATTACTCTATAAAAGATTTTATGTCGAACTAAAACCTAGATTTATATTGTGCAAAAGTTTAAATATCTTTTTTAAGATACTATTGTCCTACCTAGGCTATTTGAAAAAAAAAAGGTAATTACGATTGTATTTCCTCTACAATAATATTGTACAATAATTGATATACAAATTATGTCATAACCATATAAACGTTACTTTTTCTTGTAATGGTAAAATATTAATAGAATAAAATGAAAATGGAAGCTTAATAAACTAATTGAATTAAATATACCTTTTCAAATTTACTGTTTAAGTAAAAACAATAAACACTTTTTAATGTGTATAAATAGGTATTTGTTAATGATTAAATAAAACAAATATATTTAATACTAAAAAAATCACAGTAAATACGAAATGGTTATATACGTCATTATATCCTTAAAAGCTAACATACTTAACTATTATGACTGTAATGTAATTTTTATTTTAGTTTAGTCAACTAAAAAAAAACTTGTTGATTTAATGACAAATTTAATTAAATAGTCAATAAACAGAAGAATCGTAGATACCGTATTTAATGTAAGCTGAGCTACTCAAATATTGCAATTTTTAAATAATAAAATATATTACGTTTGCATTGTCACCATTTCTAAATAATATTGTGTTGTATGGATGCAAAATGTTCATTTTTGTGTAAAATTTACGTACAATAAGAGAGACTAATCAGTAACTAGTCTAAGACTGTTTACAATTATTCTAACTGGCACAATTGTGAGCTTTGGAGAATAAAATTCACTTTCATCGTTTTCCATTGGACATTAAACCCTGCTCAATTTATCACTCAGTTTTATCCGCTACAGCTTTGCACTACGTCTAGGCCTCCGCGCCTTCTGTAAACAAATGAGATTTATTATTATTATTAATTTAGATTAATATTGTATGGTCGTCACTCCATATAGTGAGGGGTCGCGGTAGGCTGCCACTCGAGAACCTTTTTCCCCAACGGTTGTCGGTTCTTCGAGCTATATGGGTATGGTATGGTATGTTTTGTGGCATACCTTGGGGGAGGCCTATGTTCAGCAGAGGTCTTGTGAAGGGCTGTAATGATGATGATGATGATGAATATTGTATGTTGTTATTAATATTTATTTAATTAATTATTTAAATTTTGATTAAAACATGTATTAAATCAAAATGAAGAAAGTTGTCATTTAATGTCAAGCCGAGTAACTATCACTTTGGCTCGTTCAGGGAGTGAAGCCAACAATAAAATTAGTCACCTTACCTCACGAAATATTAATATAAATACAGGCTAGTAACATAACCTATAAATGTAAGGCATGCAAGAAAAGTTTTCTCCAAGTGTTAATTCTTAGATCTAAGGCAGACAAGAATTTTTTTCTTTCAAGTGTTAATTCCTAGAGCTATATATGGCTGACCCATTGGCACATCATGTTTATTATATAGGCCTATATCGGTTACTCTGGTTATATTGCGAATATCATCGTTACAGATTATATTCAGGGTATTTATTTTTCTGAATATATCACATAACGAGGACTGCTAAAAAGTGACAGAATGCTACAAATAGATTTAGAGGGTTACAAATAGATTTATAAAAAAAAAAACTTAGTGTGCATAACATTTTACATGAAGGCATGGAGATGAAAAACGTGTCCACGCGTTGGGTATTCAATATTTACCGATGGGTAGAACTAAGATAAGCTAGACAATATTTTATAAAGTTTTTATTGTTTTTTTTTTAAATCAAGATACTAATCGTTTTTGAATGCGATCGATACGATTCCCAACTAAAATTACAGTCTATGACTTGAAAAGGCCAACATCAGCAAACATAAAACATCCTGAGTAAGATCATGGACCCTCTTTTCTGGGGTTCATAAATCAAGGGATAGTTATGGTTGAATATATCGATCATGGAGCTACGGTAACAAAAAATTGAATACAAAGATTTGAAGATGATAAAGCATTAGTCGCAGAGCAAAAATGTTTAGCTGCTCAGAATTATGAGAGAATGGGTGCGTTTGGCAGAAAAAAGCGCTAGCAAGCGCTTGTAAGCAAAATGGCGATCGTAAGCAGTAAGCCCTGTCAAATCGTAAGTAGCCATTTTCCTCCAGGACACGATGTTAGTTTTAACCGGGGAACCTAACCTAATTTAAATATATGTTTGTAAAGTATTCATATTAAAAACTTACCAATCATGAATTTTTAATAACATGTATATGTTTATTCACGTTATTATATTACTTAAAACTAATATTGCACAAAACAACTTAAAAACTCTACTTCAAAACAAAGAAATTAAATAAGCAAAATGGCGGAATTGTGTCAGCGCTACTGAAGTAGTATCGTGTCCAGACCGAAAACTATTTCAGCGCTTGTAAGCGCTTGCTAGCGCTTTTTTCTGCCAAACGCACCCAATGCACGGGCACAAACACATCACGCACACTTGACACACATAACTATATAATTTTTTTTACTAACCTGGAGTTAAGGGATGATCTCGTAACATTGAGCCTGCAGAACGGAAAATTAAATTATTTCAGTATCAATTAATTACATAACTTTCTTAAGTGAAAGAAAGTTATATATAACTTTGTATAACATAGACTACACTAAGAACTGTGTTTAAATGTGTGCATGCACTAACTAATTTTAATCTACCAGAATCTACTTTTTTACTAAGGGTTGTCTTAAATAATTCAGTAAGATTCAACTTTTTTAATATCATGACCTGGTTTCTTCTGTAGATTTATATTTTTTTAAATTAAATTGGTGTGAAACCAGAAACAGCACAGTTACCTAAGGGTCGCTGGGGCTAGGGTTGCCAACCGTACTATAATATATAGTATCGTACTATATTTCAGTCACTTGTACTATATATTATAGAAAAATAATATAGAACGAAAAATACTATATTTTTATTTCTAATTCAACTGTCGCGCTTTTTTATATTAACTGTGATTGTAAGTCTGGATCAAGTAAGTTTTACAAAAATAATATTTTCCATCATGAGTGTGGATTGGAAAGAAGAAAGAAATAGAGCATGTATTATACTTAATCGAATTAAAAATTAATTATTAATTTATTTTAATATAAACCCAAATTGCTGAGATTCCTATAATTACGTTAAAGGTAATAAAAAATCATTGATGGCCACAGCGAACAGCGGTTACAAATAGAATAGATACAATAGAAAATAGATAAAAATTAAAATAAATGTGTACTTTTTCTTCTAAATTTCTCAAAAGCACTATATTGTTTGCATCTTTTTTGGGAAAAATAATATTTGTTCAAAAAAAGGTGGCAACCCTAGCTGCGGAATATAGACATCTTTATCGATTTAACGCCCAATGATTAATCCTATTGCGTTCTTATATTATATTTTGTGTTATTTTATCAATAAAAAACAATTCATTTTATTTATTTTAGCAGTATCATGCTTCTTTTTTCTTTAATATTGAATAACCAATTAACATAAAAATATAGACTAAATGTTAATAAATGAAAGAGCTTTAATGTACAGGAAATCATGCAATTACTTTGTTACGTACAAATTATGGGTAATACGCCCCTTGCCGTGCAGAATAAGCATGCTTATATTTTTTATTTTTCTTATATAAAAACACTTAAATGTGGTAATTATTTTAATATGTAATGATGTTTTTGATGTCAACCAGAAGTAGCAAATGAACAACGAAATGTAACATTCAGTCGTACGTACGCAACATTGCGACGAAACTTTTGTAACATCGAAAGCAGCAAGCGAACGTTTTACCTATGCAGGCAGCTGACACGGACTAGCTCAGTACAGAATAGCGTCAGAAAGTTGGTTACTGGTTAGTGCGGCGCCGGGGGTGATGCCCACGATGCTGCCGCCCACGCACGCCTCCACGCCCTCTGTCGAACCACCACCACGGTACCATCAACGACAAGCCTCAACAAAATATACCTTATCAAACAAATGCCTTTTCTCAAACATTATTGGACAAAATACATAAAAAATACATAAAATCTACGCTCATAAAATAATGATTAAAAATGTTGAGCCTTGTCTATTAGTTCTCATCGTGATAAAATGATTATCGAATGAGACATTTATATTACTTTTTGTGTAGTGTATTATTGTTTTAAAGTATTTGTTATTTACGAACAAAATTATCTAATCACACAAACAATTATGTCGTATTACTTTTGCCCTTATACTAGCTAGCTCGGCTGACGTTGTCCTGCCCTTTCCGGCAGGTGGCGTGATGAGTTTCAGTCCGGACATTTTAATGTAAATATAAAATTTATTAAGACTTCAACTACATCGCCATCTACCGGATTTATTACCGCATACTTCAAATATTCAGGGTGTTAGTATAAACACCATTGTCCTTGAAACCAGTGGTTTGGTTTCACTTATAGAACGTTAATTCAATAAATTTAAAAAAAACACTATATTCTTTCATAAAATTTAAAAAAGTTTCTGTCCGACACCGTCCGTAAATTCATGGATAGCCACCCTGTGCACCCGAGTGACGTAATCACTGTAAAGATCACCGCCCGCGCTAGCTACCTACACAACATTCATCATAAAAACACAATAGGTACACATAACCTGTGATGTAACTTTTCCTTCATACTTTCTTTCTGGCTTAGGACAAGCAAAAATTGAGGAATTAAGGAAAATTTGAGATTTTACTATAAGTGAAACCAAACCACTGGTTTCAAGAAGAACGGTGTTTACACTGACAACCTGTATAAAAATATTGTTATAATATATTTACTTTTAAGAAATGAATATTTAATTTTAGAGTTTTTGTATTCATGCAAATACAGGTGGTTAGTCAATTTTGTATAGTATATAATTTTTGTACAGTAGTCAAGAATACAGAAAATGCTAAATATCAATTTCAATCTATCAATTTAAAAAATCGTATTATAGCAATCGTTTTAATATTGAAAAAATACCACAAAAATAAATATCAACTACAGCTTTATATCGTGCTAGACAAATGGAGAAAAAAACTACTGTTCATTGAATTATCCGTGCAATTACAGTAGGTTAACCTGTATCGTGGGTGACAAGCAATAATTTTATTTTTATAGCTTTCACTTGGTGTATTTAAAACACAAAATTCAATAATAAATAGTGTACCAATGAAACACACATTAGGAGATCTATTTGAAGAGGCTGTTCAATGAGTATTGTCAATTCCACATGAATGATAATAATTGCTAATGATCGTATGTGAATTCACTGCTGAACATAGACTAGATATTCAACAGTTAACTTTTGATATTAAGCTGTAATGTGGATGGACGGCACGAAATTACATCAATTACATTTCATTTGGAGTAGTTGACAGAAGCAAAGAGCACCGCCAATTGGTAGGCTAGTCACTCTTGTTAATTAAATTACAGATAGCGGTATCAGTCGTGAGCAGCAAGTGACAGTAGTGTGAGCAAGTTTTCGTATGTACACTTCACAGTGAATGTAATGCAAGCGAATGACAAGTAAATAACCAATAGAGGACGACAATGAGCTGACGGACTCAATCACGTATTAGAACTTTCATTGTCCTCATCCCGCACCTTTGTACTTAACCAGAGATATTATATAAATCTACAAATGCGAAGTAGCTTGTGCTGACAATTCGTGCCGCTATCTGTACTTTTTAGAAGCTATCAAAAAAATAAATATCTCATTTGTTGAAAGGATTATTTTGCAATAACACGCCAAATTTGTTAAGGCAAATGTTGACGAAAAATTATTTAAAAAACATCTTTAATTAATTTTACTGCGCACGTACACATTCGTAAGGGTTGGTCGGTACGCTTTGCTCATAAATAACATTCAATTTGGGATAATCTCAAATAAATGTAGAAGCCTTATTTACTCGTACTTCCAAAAACTTTTATAACTTACAACGGTAAATCATTGTTTATATATTTCAAGTTAAGTGTAAAATTTGACTACTCGTTGAAAACTTTGTATTTTTTTTATAATTATCGAACGCAATTTTAATACTTACTACTATAAGTAGCGAATGAGAATTATGCGAAGTGTTACGTTATTAATCAATTGTGATCCACCCCGGCTTCGCTTGGATAGGATCTATCAATGTAGCGTTATTTAGAATTGAAATAATGACAAACCATTACACCAGACATTTATGTCATTAGTTTTTTGTTTTTACAACAAAAACTAAGTTTTACGGATAAAATATATATACTCTAGATTCCTCCAGGCATTATTTATGTCCTAGTAGCGTACAAATAACTCCCTAATTTAAATAAAAAACAGTTATTTCAATGTTACAGACATACAATGTATTATATTAATACGTGAAAGGAAAACTTTATACCCCTTTTTATATGCAACATGCTTGTGTACACGAAAGAGTGTGAGATTTGATATAGTCAAAGTTCATATCGAGAAGATATTCTTACCTTAATTTTACCGAAATTTAAAACTGATATACTATAAATAAAAAAATTATTGTTTACGTTCATACTGTCAATGTCAATTATCAAACACATTAGTCAATAGTCAAAATGTCACACAGAGTAAAGATTATCCCCAAACAATATTAAATTAATGCAAAATTAACAAAATTAGTACTGAGCGATTGACTGAATGAAGTGTGAATTTTGTATGATTTCTAATGTTCATATTTCAATAGTTTGTGGAGTGTACGTTAAGACAAAAAAAGCATTTATTTTATATTTCGTATATTAATGTAAGTAATATATACTACGTATTGGAACAGACACCGCGAACAAAATCCGGGGCGCGTGCAATGGTGGCACGGAGTTATTTTTTTATGGAATAGACTACTTAGGTTTGAGCACGCGGGCTCCGATGCGTGTGGCAAGCAAGCGAGTCGCGACGTCTCTTCCAGTACGCAGTGCTAGCAGTAGACGGCAGAGCTCGCGCGGTACCTGTGGTGCAGGCGGCGGCGTCCGCGTTGCCGCCGGCCACGGACCACGGCCGCGCCTTGCCCGCCGCGCGCCCCCACCCGTTGCCTACACACGCACACACGCGCATGCGCGCAAATCACACCTTAGGCCTTTTGCATATTATAAGAATATTTCTTGTGTCTTATAACCAATGTCTTACGAGAAATTCAGTCGTATTGGTTCTTAAATAAGACCGTACATATTACAAGATATTTCTCCTTATGTCGGTTCAGACACGCGCATACAAGTCATTTTGTCGGCTGCATTTTCGATGTCGCGCCTACACAAAACGTTTTGCTTAAACACGACATCTGCTCAACTATATAAACAAGCTTGCGCGTGTACATTCGACGCGGCTGATTTAGCGATTTAAACACATGTGGTGTCCACGCTTTCATTTAAATTAAACTTTTAACGAAAATGAGTACCATACAAGTGAATATTGAACATTTGATAGAAGAAATACCTGTAATTTGAGACAAAGCTTGTTAGAAATATAAATTTCGGAATTTAAACACCACCGCCTGGGATGAAATATGTTCCATAGTAATAGAAAGTTTTCAAAAATGTGCCAATGGTAAAAAATAAATAAAAAAGGTAACTGTATCATAGAATTTTACATTATTTGGTCGTCATTACTTAACTTTTATAAAAGAGTATAATGAATGAGGCCTAGAACAACTACAGCGTTTTCACTTATGTTACAAGTACGCAATCACTATTAAGCACTGTCGCCTGTCCGTCTAGTACCAGTATCCTCCGTGAATTATGGTTACAGACTGACGATAAGACGTCTTGCATAAATGTGTACGATAAAACAGACAAAACATTCCTCTTGCCTAGTGTCCGTGTCTTGTAATACGCAAAAGGCCTTACATGTACGCACCGCACGGTCCACTCAGTACCGCTGGCGCGCGACACTGTGCTACAAGCCCTATGACCAAATACTCAAACGCTACTCAATTTTAAAATGTTAATTCTCGTGGCGTGACGTAACTTTTAATAAATCATAAAGACATCACGAGACTTAAAGATATCTTAAAATTGAGCAACGTTTGAGCATTCGGGCATTACTTGCCAACATGATGCCGACAAGAAATTACACCAAAGCGTACACTTCCGTAATAACCGTGAATAATTAAATATGAAAAGGAAACAGTCGATACATAGACACTTGAGACTGTCTTTATGATAAAATTAACATAATATTTGCTTATTAATAATATTTAATGAATCAGGTAATTAAGAAATCCTTTGAGTATTTGTAATGTAGTAGAATACCTAATCTTATTGGAATTAGTTTGAAGTAATTTATTGGGTCTATAAAAGTTTGAGTGACTTCGAAACTATAAATTTAATAGAATGTAGTGATTGTAATTTGAATTCAATCCGTTTCTGTATTAATTATTTAAAAAATACAGAAAATAAGCAACAATATATTAATTAAGTTTTTAAAGTAGCTAATTTTTATAACGATAATAAAATACAATATTCAAATTCGCAAAGCTATTAACAAATGCTACTTTAATCCTTTAAGCTGTAAACGAATGCTATTTTAATCCTCAAAATTATAAAAGCTGACTTATCACGATATCTCTAAAACTATATACCCAATCGACTTGAAATTTAGTACAGTTACTGGTTTCGTATGGTTTTTTTGATATTTTATAGCTATGTACGTTATTATCGTGCGCCCAGCGAAGCGAGCGGGTACGAGGTAGTATTTGATACAAACAAGCCACAAATAAGCGTCTTAGGACCACTCTATATTAAAAACTTTCTTTTCTAAAATAAATGCAATTTATTTAACAATTACAAACTGATATAGTTACCATACCTCGTAAATTTACAACGGTCAAAAGTTTTATTTTAATTATGACCTCTAATTTGCAGCCATGTTCGTATCGTGTACCCAACACGTCACATTAGCGGACGGCCCACAAATCACACAAGCTGTAATTAGTGCGTATTGAAGCAGTGTGGTAATTTTTCTTCTTATAATGTTCACTCGGTGAGAGAAGAGATCGTTTGCTCGTATATAAGTTTTTGATTCTGTAAATTATATATTTTAATTCACATAGTAGACTTTTCAACCGACTTCAGAAACAGTAGGATGCTCTCAATTAGACTGTATTTTGTTTATGTGTGTTACTTCAGAACTTTTTATTTATTTAAATGCTTTCTTTTTATTTGAATACTGGTGCTTCTCGTGTGGTCCGATATAAATTTGATTAACATCTGACCAGTAAGTTTTAAGTCATCCTTAATAATGCGTATTTAATTGACTTCGACTACACTGATGATTCTACGTTCTCATTTTATTTATTTTGAAGTCGGTTATACAAAATTTTATTTCACCACTTATCATGTTTATGTAGTTAAAGTTACCTAGCGATCTTATTATTTCAAAATATTATTACAATAATATTAAGTTTTTTTAAATATTGTTACCGTATGTGTTTAATATAACTGAATAGAAGAATCAAATAATCGAAATGAAAACTATTTAAATTTTATTATTGTACTAATTACTTTGGTATTGACAGTAGTAGTTGTAAAGTTACATCATACATATTTTAGCAGACAAAACGTTATTTTTTTAAGGAGAAGATATGAGACCAGTGGCGAAGCTAGAGCTCCAAGCTAGGGCAAGCCCAAGATATAAATTGATAAAAATATAGATTGTTGTTTTTAGCAGTTTCATAAAAATACACCAATCTTGATCTGTCTCCACGCTTCAGTTTCATATTCAGTGCTGTCAAGGACGTGTTTAACAAAGCACACAGAAGGCATACCACTGCTAGATAGATTGTATTACATATCAGCAATTGCATAGCTTCGGTGGCTTTGAAGAAAGCCGTTTGGGTTTGTTTAAGCGAAAGAAAAAAATATTTACATCCAATACAATACATGAACAAAAGTAAAACACGAACAAAGTACAAACAAACTACATATGTACAAAATTAAAAAAAAATTATTTACATTCTAATGGATAAAAGATAAAATAAGATAAGTGGAATCGTCTCGCTTTCTTATGGAAAGATTTAATTACGTCCACGTAAAATGTTGGTGAACGTTTTAATTGTACCAATAACTGTTTTTAATTGCGATAATTGATAAGTCGGAAATACACTCTTAACCTTATGTATTATCTCAACAAAGTTTGAAGATTTCTTCTCCGATTATCACTTTAACACACTTCATTTCATCACAAGGAACACTATTATCCTCCATTTTCATTATTTTTCATTTTCTTTAAAAAAGCATAAATTTTGAACTCGTAATATTAAATCGCTTAAGATAAGCACAAAGAGTAAATAAACATTGAAACGTGAAATGAACTTGCAAACGTATTGCCCGCGCGCCTACGCTTTTAACAAATTTATTCCCAAAAGCCTGGCTTTAAATCTCTATACTAATCGCTATATATACAATCGTAGTTATATTTCATTATAGAATATTTTGCCATAGGTTAGAAAGAGAGCGATCGTCTTCTCGAAAGCCCCGTAAAAAGCCCACGCGAGCGAGGGAGACAACTATTAGCTCTATTAAAACTCATTTTTTATGACAGCAGCAGTATCGCTAAGGCAATACGAGGTCATCGGTCGACATGTGTCGAACAGTGGAGTGCACTGGAAATTTGAAATAGCTTGGAACATTTTACGAGTTATTTTATTAGTTAAGATTGATATTATTGATTGATTCAGGTTTAATAAGGCAAGCCCGGCTTTTCGGCTTTAATGGAAGCTTCGCCACTGTAAGACTAATAATTATAAATATAAAAATGATACCTAAAACTACCACGTGATTGATGATTTAGGATAATTATGAAAAATTATATTTATCAGGCGTCTTGAGTCACCAAATACTGAAAGTCGTTAATATTGCAATGAAATGTATGTTGAAGTTAGAGCAGTCGAACTCTTTAGCACCGAGCAATAATAAAGGCAATGATGACATGTGTATGCGTGCTCGTGTAGGCATGTGTGTGCGCTGTGCGTGCTCACCCATGGTGTTGACGTTGTCGGACGAGCGCGAGGGCGGCGGCGTGCCCGGCGCGCGCGTGCCCACGTTGTCCGACGACTTGCAGCGCGACACTTCTGCTGGAGGAAACCAACACTCTATACATCGCTGTTCACAGCCTTTATAGATATAGATCTCCCGTCTCATGGTGACCACGGGAGTGATCAACGCTCCGTGTTAAAGTATAGAGCCGTATATAGCACGTTACTTCGGTACTTTAATAGCGTGATCTAGGTTTAGGTACGTTTCGCTTGTGGCGCGACTACAGTGCCTACACATCCGTTACTAAAATATCACTAATATGTTGTTGCAAAAATATTTACTTTAGTCCGGTAACAAAATCATTTGTTTTCACTTACTACCGAGTCACAAGGTAGTAAATGGTGAAGTATTTTTTGGGGGAAACCAACCCTCTATACATTGCTGTTCACAGCCTTTGTCACATACTAGTCTTTTTAAAATAGTAATGGACTAAAGTCTCTACTGTCCTCTTCAGAACATAGTTTAAAAAGTTAAAAAAAGTTAAAGTTACAGCCTATATACGTCCTACTGCTGGGCTCAGGCCTCCCCTCATTTCTGAGAGGGTTTTAGGGCAAGGAAGTGTCCGCCGCGCTGCCCAAATGCGTGTTGACGAACTTCACATGTCTTCGAAATATTTTTTTTTCTTATTCCTCAGACATGCAGGTTTCCTCACGATGTTTTCCTTCACCGCCGAGCACGTGGTAAATCAGCACTTAAAATTGCAATTAACAATTTCATTGGTGCCGGCGGGGATCGAACCCGGGTTACTCGCGTTCTGTTATATTTACAGCGAGCGTTAACCACTGAGCTACCACGGCTCAAGAACATAGTTTGCTATTAAAATATTCGGACTTACTCATAAAAATCCACGGCAACATAATATTTAAAGTTGCTCTCACTCTCAACTAAATTGTCATTTCACACAAAAAATAATAATACTTACTTTACACCTATCTCATACACATAGGCCTTCCGCATACATTATAATTAATATAGAGCCTTTATAAGTCTTATGTCCAGCAGTTGATTTTATAGCCTGTGATGGATGAATGGAATAAATATTTAAAGTAAGTGGTTATAAACAATTGCAAAATAGTATTTTCTTAGAAACAATGATATTTTAATATTTAATCATGGATAGAGTTCCATATAATCAATTCCAGAAACAATACAAGTAACAACGGAAAGATCGACTGATTTATTCGTGATTAATCTTGAATGGAAGAGGAATCGAATAGTGAATGCTATAAATGACTTTGAAAAATTGCTAAAATCTTGCGATTAAATTCTAAAAAACTTCTCAGAATTTGGAAACCTAAACCAGTAACAGTTATTTAATTCTACTTTTTCTGCTTGCGCAATGTCATTTCGTTACTCAACATTTTTTACTTTTGATATAGTAGGACGACACAAGATAAGATTCTTTAACGCCATATGACATGCTTAAATAGTTAAATTTTCAGCAGTGGGATTCTCAGTAACGAACTACTTGATGACAACGGGATAGTCCACATTCATGGCAATTGAAAACATTTTTACGGGCTATCAAAACGAAACTATTATAACATAATATCAAAAGTTATGGTTTCATGAAGTTAAATTAATATTTTTCCTCGTTTACGTATGATAAAATATGATTTAACTAGAAATAGTAAATCCATCAAATCATTATAGTAATTTATCTACTTACCACATTCTAGTAACACCGGAGTACTTTCACCAGACGTTACGCTATACCTGTAATATTAAGACGGTCAAGATTTTTGAAGCTAAACATAAATATTTATATGTTTAATACATAAAAGTAACATACGTTTCCGAAAAATAGACTGGCCGAACGATCGTTCACTACCGGATAAATATTGGCGACAGAGAATGACCAAATAAGAAAAATAGGTAACTTCTATGCACACACATTGTCTTCATAGCTAATGCCAAAAGCGGCACGAATTCGTTATTATCGACCGTAATAAAATAAAATCTTATTCAGTGAGGATTTATTATAATCGCCAAGTGTGTCAGTGAAATTTGCGATCGCAATACCGGACATCTCTCGCACTTGACGGCTTGACGCTCTCTTCACTAGTCTAGGTATTTTAAGTCTCGCGTAAACGGGGTGCTTATATCATCTGTCGGAAGCTTTAATATCCTTCTAACATTTTACATTGTCGCTTCTTACGAAACCCACAGAAGGAAATGGAATGACGGGTTTTCTTGTGCTGCTACTATGAGATATGTGACTTTCAGTTATTGTTACGAGTAAACAGCGAGTACAGCGAGCGAGACGTGCGCGGCGTGCGCCTCGACAGTACGTACATAGTGTCGTCGCGCTGTAGCGTGGGCGAGTGGCGCAGCGGCGAGGGCGAGGCGAGTGACGACAGCGAGTGCAGCGAGCGAGACGTGAGCGGCGTGCGGCCCGACAGCGAAGCCTCCTCGCTGCCCGGCGGCGTGCGGCACGTGCGCCAGAACTCATCCAGCCCTGATAGTGTAACAAATTTACACCTATATTTCTTCAGGTTTATAAAATACATAACAATCTTCAAACGTTAGGGCACGTTCCACCTCCCGTTTGATAAAAAGAAGGTACTGCTACAGAGACGAGCCTCTCTACTGCTCCAATACATGTTGGCAAACACTCATATGTCCTCCTATATTGTCGTATAATATTACATATTTGCCAAAAAAATTAAAATTTATTTAACCGCAGAAAAGTATTATTTTGTTAAATCTATAACTTACGCCAAAATAAAAAGTGTTTTTTAATAATGGTCATATACAACATGGCGGCAACTTAAGTTACAGCATAATAGCTTGCATGCATTCATTATATGTTATAACGTAAAGTATCAAAAATACATCAAATAAATAACAGATTAAGACACTTACTAATTTATTAGTAGCTTCCATCGAAATTATTCTCAAGCTAGTGCTACAGCCACGTTTAAAGTAACCATGAAAAAATATTTATATTTCAAACATTCGTAAACAACATTTTTTTTTGACGTTGATATATTATCTCTACCATGGCATGGGTATACCTTTAGATCAATTCACGAATTGAATCGCATGCTCCTGAATAGATCTCGTATAAAAAGATTCAAAAAATACAAAAAATAAACCAATTTAATTATGTATTGCAATATATAATTTCATAACTACATAACAAACATCTGCCAATCTGTATTTAAATTTTTTATTTCACAATTATTTAGTTTAATCAACTTATGGATTTATTGGGAAATAAAGACTTTCCAAGAGTTGGAGTACATATTGTAGCCGGAGTGCCACAAAGCGAAACATCTTTTAGAAAAAAAATAATACATGAACTATTTCTAGTCTTTTAAAGGTGAGAGCAGTAGCAGTAGAAGATTAAAAAAAAATTACCTTCATCAATATCTTGAGATTGGTCTGTTATGGGCCGAGTAGGAGCTCTCGTCTTTGCTCTTCTAGGGCGTCCTGTAATATTTTTACGCCAAAGTTTATAACATTATATAAATAATTAATATGTACAGCCTGACATATAGTCGCTCTAAGTTGGATATTGGATATTTATACGTGGTAGAGCCACGCTGCAGCTATATTATGGTTGCGGCACGAATGCGTCGGCTCGATTGGGGAAGAAACACGCTCTCAATAGTGCTGTGTTTCGTATGGTGAGTGTGAGTAACTGTAACTAATTTGTAACTGGAAGCGAGGCATCCCATCTTAGTCCACACGGGTGACAACGCATCTGCGTTTTGATTCTTAACCGAGGATAAATGTAGATGTCTATGGGCCAGAGCATCCATTTCCCATCAGGTGGACTATATGCTAGTTTGTCATCCGTATTTTATAAAAAAAATATCATCTATAATCGCCACGCTTAGTATATCAATATTCCGGTTCCTTGACGCAGTCCCTATTCTTACTAAATATTATTATAATAATTGATAATTAATCTTGAACTTAAGAGGAAAAAAAGATATTTTTCATTACAATTATTCCATTACATTATAGTGGATCAAATTCCACTGCTGATCCCTCCATAGGTTGTCCCATATTACAGGATATTGCCATAGTTGCCACGCTTGGTAGGCGCATCGACATCCGCAGTTTTTATAATTCTGAGTTGTTACCAGCACCATGTTGCCGCTTTATGTCTTGTTTCAATTCCCCCTATAGCCTGTTACGACACCCATAGGACGATAGTGGATATTTTTACATAGATACTACACAGTCAACTGAATTTTAATTTATGCAATAGAAGCGGGTGGATAAGATAATAATCTTAAAATATCCGCACATCATACTAGTAACATGAATAAAGAATGTTTAAGGTCAAATTTTTAGAGAGTGAAGATGTCATTAAACCCGAACATTATTTTCTAGCATGCAATGAATAGTGGCCGTGTAGCGGCGGGGTAAAAATATCACTAACCTATGGAGTGTAGAGGAAAGGAGTATAGACTCTGTATAAAAAGGTGTCCGTAGGAAAGCGTTAAATAAGGGTGGCGCCACTGTAGCTACAGTCTAAATTTTAAAGAACTTTTTATAATTTTTTTATTACACAGACTTTTACCATAATTCTTTATACAATAATTATTTTATTGCTTTTAAAATTTTTATTTTCAAAATCACTCTCAACGTATTTGACTACTCGAGCGCTGTAGTGGAGAGTTTTTGAACTGTTATTTATTGCTTACAGACGGACACTTTTTGAACTATTCTCTTATGGGAGTTGGAACTCCTTAATTCTACACTCCATATACTAACCCATCTTTCGGTTGGTGTCGTAAGAAGTGACAGAGGGGGAACAAACCAGCAGATGGGTAGCAGCATTATCCTAATAACAACTAAAAATAAAAAACTTGACAACTTGCCCGACATGCTAGCAACTATGGCAAATATCCCCCTTATGATTCAATCTAATAGGGGAGGCCTGTTTTCAGCAATAGACTTTTGATAAGCTGTAATGGTAACGTAAAGTAATACTTAATTTTTTTTGCACATTTTAACTCTTTAATTTTTCTACTTTTATGAATATCTGTGGTTTGGTTTATTTATTTTTAATCTAATTAATATTGAACATAACTAATAGTACAGAAAGTAACATAAAATTTTATCGAACAATTCGCTACGAAATCTGTCAAACATTATATCTCATTTTTAAGTGACGCCGTCTTAGTGGCAGAACAATTTGCGGATGTCGTGATGTGTTGACCGTAACTAGGTTTAATGTATTATATAATATAGTACCTTATTGCTTGTCTAGTATTATAAAAGAAAGTGTTAGGGTATATAAACAAAGGTACATACAGGCCTTTGACGATGTGCCGCAGCGTGTGCGCGGGCAGGTCGGCGTGCGCGTCGGCCACCTCGGCGTGGAGCGGCGGCAGCGACAGCATCTCGTAGCTGCTGCACTGGTAGGTATATATAAACAAAGGTGCGTGCCTTTGACGAGGTGCCGCAGCGTGTGCGCGGGCAGGTCGGCGAGCGCGTCGGCCGCCTCGGCGTGCAGCGGCGGCAGCGACAGCATCTCGTTGCTGCTGCACTGGTAGGTATATATAAACAAAGGTGCGTGCCTTTGACGAGGTGCCGCAGCGTGTGCGCGGGCAGGTCGGCGAGCGCGTCGGCCGCCTCGGCGTGCAGCGGCGGCAGCGACAGCATCTCGTAGCTGCTGCACTGGTAGGTATATATAAACAAAGGTGCGTGCCTTTGACGAGGTGCCGCAGCGTGTGCGCGGGCAGGTCGGCAAGCGCGTCGGCCACCTCGGCGTGCAGCGGCGGCAGCGACAGCATCTCGTAGCTGCTGCACTGGTAGGTATATATACACAAAGGTGCGTGCCTTCTGACGAGGTGCCGCAGCGTGTGCGCGGGCAGGTCGGCATGCGCGTCGGCCACCTCGGCGTGCAGCGGCGGCAGCGACAGCATCTCGTAGCTGCTGCACTGGTAGGTATATATAAACAAAGGTGCGTGCCTTTGACGAGGTGCCGCAGCGTGTGCGCGGGCAGGTCGGCAAGCGCGTCGGCCACCTCGGCGTGCAGCGGCGGCAGCGACAGCATCTCGTAGCTGCTGCACTGGTAGGTATATATAAACAAAGGTGCGTGCCTTTGACGAGGTGCCGCAGCGTGTGCGCGGGCAGGTCGGCAAGCGCGTCGGCCACCTCGGCGTGCAGCGGCGGCAGCGACAGCATCTCGTTGCTGCTGCACTGGTAGGTATATATAAACAAAGGTGCGTGCCTTTGACGAGGTGCCGCAGCGTGTGCGCGGGCAGGTCGGCGAGCGCGTCGGCCGCCTCGGCGTGCAGCGGCGGCAGCGACAGCATCTCGTAGCTGCTGCACTGGTAGGTATATATAAACAAAGGTGCGTGCCTTTGACGAGGTGCCGCAGCGTGTGCGCGGGCAGGTCGGCAAGCGCGTCGGCCACCTCGGCGTGCAGCGGCGGCAGCGACAGCATCTCGTAGCTGCTGCACTGGTAGGTATATATAAACAAAGGTGCGTGCCTTTGACGAGGTGCCGCAGCGTGTGCGCGGGCAGGTCGGCGTGCGCGTCGGCCACCTCGGCGTGCAGCGGCGGCAGCGACAGCATCTCGTAGCTGCTGCACTGGTAGGTATATATAAACAAAGGTGCGTGCCTTTGACGAGGTGCCGCAGCGTGTGCGCGGGCAGGTCGGCGAGCGCGTCGGCCGCCTCGGCGTGCAGCGGCGGCAGCGACAGCATCTCGTTGCTGCTGCACTGGTAGGTATATATAAACAAAGGTGCGTGCCTTTGACCAGGTGCCGCAGCGTGTGCGCGGGCAGGTCGGAGAGCGCGTCGGCCGCCTCGGCGTGCAGCGGCGGCAGCGACAGCATCTCGTAGCTGCTGCACTGGTAGGTATATATAAACAAAGGTGCGTGCCTTTGACGAGGTGCCGCAGCGTGTGCGCGGGCAGGTCGGCGAGCGCGTCGGCCGCCTCGGCGTGCAGCGGCGGCAGCGAGAGCATCTCGTTGCTACTGCACTGCTGCTCCGCCACCGACTTGGGCCGCACGCGCCGAGCGCCGCGCTCGCGCCGCCGCCCGCCCAGCGGCGTCGCCTGCCGCGCCATCCGACACTCATATTAAGCTCAACGCACATTTCTCAGCACCGTACGCGCACCATTTTAGAATTCGCTGTATGCAATCATATGTAACCTCGCACATTTCAGACGCACCGTATTTCATAAAATACTTTAGGTATCCGAATATTGAAGAAGGCATGCTGATGACGTCATATAATGAGGCGCGTTCGGCGCGTGCTGATACTTATTGCTGTAGTATGTTGCCAACTTACTGGATTTCACACTAAATCTGGTGGTTTCGACTCTTCTTCTAGTGAAGAAATATTGCTTTTAGGGGCTGGTGTTTTTCTAGTGTGCAGTAAAATAAAGTTTTAATTAGTGGCAAGGTGATCACTCCACTATTAAGCCACTTACATGTTTCGAAATATATTTTTACTTATTTCAGGAGTATTTACACTTACTGAGTAGGCAACAATGATTCATTCGTCAGACAAGACATGCAACTCGGCCTTTTTTTCCTCTGTTACTTTTAGAGACGTATGAGCCAGTTTCATTATTTAAATTCCCGTTCCCGTTAAGCGCGTTATCAGTTTACTTCAGATAACTCGATGGTAAAAAAATTAAATTATAGACCGTAATAAAATAAATTCTTATTTGATAAATTATATGTACATGGTTTTATTATCTCTAAATGACAAGCGCATCGGTAAATTAGTATATTTTGTGAATGCACAATATTCTTCCTACCTGACCATATACAGGTAATAAAATACATAATTTCCAAATAATAATTTATTTAATTTAAATTTTTTATGGTCGAGTTGTCTGGAGTAAAGTTATTAACGTAAGTTTGAATACTGATTCTAATAACGCACTAACAAGAAACCACAGGATTTTTGTTACATGTTGCATAGTCAGCTAACTCTTACGACTTTAAGTATGTGGCGGGGCCGAGCGGGAAAGGACACAACGCAGATTGGCCAAAATCGACGCTCTCGCTCCTTATATTATGTACCATTCAGTATAATCAGAAGTCAGTCTTGTTTTCATTTCAATATTTAAAACTAATAGCTAGCTGACATAGATGTTTTCAACTCTCGACATCGATACAGCCCGACCTGATTTTTTTAAATTTTAATGATATAGAATGGCCTTCTTATAAATGTATCATCTACCCTTCAAAGATTTTCACTAGTTGCCTTTATTCAAAATAATGAACTGGCAGTTAATAAGCGCGAAACGTATACTATCACACTGTTATCATCTGCATACAACGTTTCTAGAAATTATTTATTGGCAAAAGCAAATACTCTTCTAAAAATCCAATAATTAGATAGATCGATGTAGTGCTATAATGCAGGACAACACTTACTGCAACAAATAATAAATTTTGTCGAACAAGTGCAAAGGCGATATTTACTCTACAAGATTACCTTTTTTCTAAAATAATAATAACGAAGCCAAAGAAAGAAGCAAATATTTAAAAATAAAGTCTGTCAGATTGAATTAAAGGTGTTTGCTTACCAAATTTAAATAATCCAATTTCTTGGCATGAGAAAAAACATTAAAATTAGATTACCTGTTATAAGAAATATAAATAATGGCGACAAATTCCAATAATTGATAGAATCAGGCGTTACTTTGCGGAAAAGAATTAATTGACGGAATTAGTGCACGCAATTGAGGGAGGGCGGGAGGTGCTCTTCAATCCAGGTAAGACACATCATTGTATTTGTTTAGCGGAAGGTTGCAAATTAATTAATATCTTTATGACAACTTCCCAATCATTAGAAGTTATCAACTGCGCGCAAGATGCTACCGCGCCACAACAAAAAATATAGAACAAAAAATGTGGAGAGCTACACTACAGCTTTCTTATGGCTGTAATATGAATGCGTCAGCATTACGGGAAAAGGACCACGTTCTAGCAGGATTCCAGCACAAAATAACAGCAAATTGCTGCTGTGTTTCGTATGTTAAGTGTGTAGAGACAAGACCCTTTTTAAATGTAGCGATGCATTTCAAGGTGACAATGCACCTGAGTTTTGATTTTTAATTGATGATACATTTGGTCTGTATAGGCCACTGCATTCACTTACCGTCAGGTGAACTGTTTCCCCTCGTTTGTCATAGAAACTCACTCACTCGTCCTAATATACCTAACAGGCTAGGGAAAATCCATCACACACATAAGCCCCATGGATTATAATAGTTACAGTTGGAAAATTAGAAAAATGCATGAATATATTCCGACATAATGGCAGTTCCCTGTCATCAACATTAACCTGTCAAGAGTATCGATTGTATAAGCCCTTCCAACTCAAGAAAAGTCAATGTCCAGCAAACTAATGTCTATCGTGATCATCATTATAATATTATTTAAACAATGATGAAGAAGGTAAAAAGAAAATTTTGAAAATAAAATGTCTTACCCCGGAATGTGAAATTGGTGTGAGCAGGTCAGGTATATCAGCTTCGGAACTTGGCGTCGGTTCAATGTCCACACTGTCCACACTCTCACAAGCCGCAAGTGCTAAGCTTTCCACGGCTTCACTGAAGTAAATATTATTAGTTGTGAAGATAGAAAAAAAGTAAAATTGACCATTATAATATTTTCTTAAATGATGCCATGATCAAAGATAGTTTTAAGCATACCCAATCAAACAATAAACACAAAAATAGTTATTATGAAATATACATATACATACATACATGTATATTGCAAATATATAATGCAGGGAATAGAGTGAATGGGGCACTACACTCTATTATGAAGAATCAGAATGTGTCAAAAAAGGCACGTATGGTAATTCATAATGCTGTGTTAGTCCCTACTTTAATGTATGGTAGTGAAAGCTGGGTGTGGCAGAAGAAGCACGAAAGTAGAATAAATGCTGTAGAAATGCGGTCTTTAAGGAGTATGCTAGGGTTGAATCTGAATGACAGGGTGAGAAATTACGTGATAAGAGATAAATGTGGTGTGTAAGATGATGTTGTGACCAGGATTAAGAAAGGAATGCTTCGGTGATCTGGTCATGTAGAAAGAATGAATGAGGAAAGAGTGACAAAGCAAATTTATATGGACGTGTGAACGGCAGAGTCGGGAAGGGGCGCCCTAGAAGAAAGTTTATCGACCAAATTGGCGATATTTTGAAAATGGGCCACATTAGAAGTACCCTTAACCGACGAGCATGTATGCGTAGATATATGGATGTAAAGGAGGCGAAAGAGGTGTGTCAGGATCGTGCCAAATGGAAGTCCGTAGTCTCTGCCTACCCCTCTGGGTGACAGGCGTGAGTGTTTATGTATGTACTATGTATATTGCATTAAATTATTACTCTTCTAAACTTAAGAACATACTTTAAGATCAGCATCGTCATCATAACATGAAATCACAAGTCCACCGCTGCACATAGGCTTGTGACAAAGCACAGTCTTAAGCCACCTGCATCAATGGACTTCTCATCTCTTACCAGGTCGTAACAGGTGTTACAATGCAGCCATGCCATGCCCTTCACCTAAACCATTGGGCTGTGTCGGTTACTCTGGTACTACTGCGGATGTCTTCATTATGGAGTCTTTCACTCAGAGAAACTCCAAGCATAGCCCTCTACATAGCTCGCTCTTCTATATAATTAGAGATGGCACTCTTTGGTCTTCTATACAATTTTTTGAAGTGTGTTTATGTTGTCCTAAATATTATTATAGTTATACATTATTATAATGTTTATAAAGCCACTTACACAGCTAATGGAACATTTAAAACTTAATTCTTGCATTGCTTCAAGTTCAGCCAACTTAAAAAAATATTTCCCCAGAACATTTATTTCTGTTTTATACAAGTGATCCGGCCCGGCTTCGCATGGGTGATTTTCTAATCACGACAATAGTTCCACCTATCAGGTCCAATTGTGGATCGTTTAGATCATCCAGGGACTCCCACTCAAACACGCAAAAATGTAATTAAAATAGATTCAGCCACTTTCTAGTTTTGGCGAGATTAACGGATTTTTATATATTGAGACATATGTTATATGATACCTTCTTGTTTCTGAAGTCGTCGATTTAAGTTTTCTATATACTATGTATGTTTTAGCACCTAGTTCTGAAGTTTTTTGGAAATTATTTTGTTGCCTTTAATTCTTTGAAGTCGACTTTTAACTTTTATTATAACTTTAATTTTTCTTTTTGATTAAATTGAAATAAACTAGAGCAAAATTTTATTAAGTTATTTACAGTGAAAAATTGATGCGATATATAGGCAACGCTGAGAGGGACTTTATCTGCTTGTCTTAATATTTATTATCCTAAATCATGAATTCTATCAAGCTATTGTATAGACAAACCTCATTATATAATTATTCATTAATTAAAGTAAAAATTCATCGATATAATGGATGCAGTATGAATAATTCATTTTTGGTTTTATGTAAACTGTTGAATTTAGTATTTAACACTAAAAAAAATAATATATTCTTTAAAAATATTATCACAATTACAGCAAAATTATAATGGTTATAAAGCAATAAATATTAAATGAAATCGTAAGAAGGTAGTTGGTAGATATTATAAAGTTAAATATTTACTTGAGCAAGTCTTGCAACGTAGTATTGCAAGGCGCCATCGCGTCTCGCACTGCCTGTAACGAAACTAGTTCCCCACTTGTGTTGGCCCCGCCCATCGCTGCAAATACTTCACTACACCGCTGTGAACATACAAAGTAGAATTTAATTAATATAGTAATGTGCACACGTACATCAAAAACCGATAAACCTATACAGAAAAATAAGTAAATAAAAACAAAAACCTAAAACAACTCGCATTGATCAAGAGTTGAGATGATACTAGTGAAATCCTACGTCATAGTTACGAAATAATTGTACTGTTATCGGTTCTTAGAACATCTATAAACTTTCAAATTATTTAGATGTCCTAAAATGGGTAAAAAATGGATTAAAAGTTTTCATTAGTAAGCAACTAATATTGGTCTAACGAAAGGATAGTCATTCGACTAGGACAAACCTAACTTTGTAATGAAAAAAAAATGTATTTCCTTACATCGTTTGTTATTGCAATAAATACTTATTGACTAATTAATCTGATAAAATATCAATATCAATAAAAATAAAACAAAACGAAATTAAATAAAGAAAAAAAATTAAAATCATGATGTGGAACTCTTTTTTGTATAATTCCCACACAAAAAAATTGTACCCTACGTCATGATTTGAATTTCTTAAAATTGAAGATCTTGAAGAATTATTTATCGCTTTTATACGTTCGAAATTAAAAGTTTAAGTTTCGATAATCTATTACACTGTGCGTGCGTGCGTGTGTAACGTGTAAGTGCGCACCTGCAGGTACTGGTGCAGCAGATGGTGCGCGGCGGCGGCAGCGCGCTCGACGGCGGCGGGCAGCGGCGGCGGCGGCAGCGCGGCGGCCGCCTGCGCCGCGAGCGCAGCTGCCGCCTCACCACCCGCCCACGCGCGCTCTAGCGCCAGCGCGCGCAGCCGGTGCGACTGCGCCGCCGTGCTGTTGCTTGCTAGCCTGCAATATGCAATGTCACAGAATAAATGATAGTACTACGGACAGAAGTTGCACTCCTTTGATGTTGACTGCTTGCCGACGTTTATTAGCCTACATAATTATTATTAATTAGATAAATCGCACAAGCAAGCGAAATAAAACTTTGTCGCTGCGCGCGAGTGTCCGTATTACTTTGCATCTTTTCCTACGACACTGCGGACTTTCCGTAGTTACAAAGGGCTGCCAATAAGTTACTTAGGTGAAGTACCTATTCTGAGTATTATCGACTGTCAATATTTTCGCATCTATGTGAGTTCTGCGATGCCCAACGCATGCAACTTGAAAGGCCATTTGTTGGGAATCACGATGTTTGGCTCGGAAGAAATAGGTAGATAATGTAAACAATAAATAAACGTGAAATACGATTCCTAACCGAAATGTAATAGTATTCTACTTTTAAAAATATTTTTAGCAAACAAAGTTTTATTTTAGTATCTTGTGTTATTGTAACTTAAAATATTTTAATTACAAAAGACAAGTAGAGGTCTGTAAGTAGATACTTGGATAGTTAAGTAAATTTCAACTAATACTGTCATTCATAAATATCTAACGCCTTCTATTTTACTACGCGCGAACACATTCGTCAGGCTCGCTAGGTTACAAAATTTAGATACCTTATCGCTCGTCTTCCCGCACTCTTCCCTTCCGTTAACCGTTACACCGCTAGTTACCTAAGTCTGTCCACTCCGCCTACAGATGACAGTATTGACCGTGACCTCAATATGTACAAGCGTCCTATTTTTAAAGTTTTCGTAAGTATTAGCGTCGCTTCGTCACTAATGACGGAACGAAAATGTTCAAACCGCGAATACATACTATGAAATTATGAAATGGTGCGGTATTATATTTAGGCAATAAAAGTTTACGTGGTGCACAAAGATTATTCGAAAGGCTTTTATAGAGAGTATTTACCGCGGCAAGAAATTGACGTAAGTGTACGTAACGTACGTGACGTAAGAACAATTGACACCTAATTAAACTATTCAAGTGCAGTAAGCAATAATTTAAACAGTGAATATGAAGATAGGTGGATCACGCACGGATGCCCTATACAATGGCTTGCAAACTCGCCGGAACTTATACCGTTAGACTTTTATCTGTAAGGTGAAATAAAGAGTCGTGTTTGCGTTAAAGAGGCCCAAAGTTATGAAAACCGCCACAGTAAAATGATTGCTGCATTCGCGGAAGTAAAAAGTGCTTAAGCACAGTTAATAAGTGTGAAAAATAATTTAAAAAGACGTGCTCTATGCATAGAGATGCATTTCTCACGTCTATGCTTAGAGAGAAACGGATTCCATTTTGAGGTACCGATATTAGTTATCATGTGACATATATAGATCTTGCATAATTTAGTTGTTAATAGTCAATTTTTTTTAACGCAAATACGCCATAATAATGATAGTCGTCGGTTACGTCTTTGATAAGAAATTTTTTTTTAATTTATTACGACGATCACAAGCCCGTTAACAGTGTGAAAAGAATATTGGCATCATTGTTGGCGTGGTGTGGTTATTTAACTTAAGCATTAGTCGTGTAAGCGTGTCACTAAGAAAGTAAACAATAAACAAAAACTTGAGAAACGAAAACGTAAATTAAATAGCACACACAGGAACGCGCGTACGCGTAGATTTTGCCTATAAATCACATTAAATTTGGGATAATTCCAAATAAAAGTAAAAGCCTTATTTACTCGTATTTTCAAAAACTGTAATATTGGTTTGTCATCATTTATATATTTCCACTGAAATATAAATTTTGGCTACTCTTTGAAAAATAACCCTGTATATTATGTATAATATACGAAAACTTAATAGTTAAGCACTTGTCTTATAACACTTCAATAAAAAACTTGGTCATCTGAGTATCGATATTAATGTAATTTTTATTTTATAGCATAGAAATTCCACTCATAAGGATGGAAAAATTGTGGATAAAATTTTTGATTTAACTATACAGACGATATTCTATTTGTTACCTTGAGCTTGTGATGTTCTTCAACGAACCCAAAAACAAAATATAAAAAGTAATAATTTACTTCATAAAATAAAAAGGATAAAATTTCCACATGCAGTTGGAACTTTTATTACTCTGTATACTATATTTTAGCATAAACTTCTGAAGCTGTTACGTCGAAACTATTTTTTCTTTTTAGTTCTTTGGCTTTGACTTTTAATAAGAAAACTAATTTAAAAAATATTACTTTTGTGTTTAGAATAACCCTTTATTTTCTACACACACGCAAACATATTTCTTTTAACAGACACTAAATGTCCGCTACTGGAAACACATAACATGCACCAATAACCATCGTGTTACTTGTAAATGATTTTGAATACATGTGTGTGTTGCTATAAATTGAACATCATTATGGCTTAATCTTGGCATCACTTGAAATATATGCAACACTCTTTTCATCTTTCTTTGTTGACCTGAATAGTAGTGGTCAAGAAATGGCAACGATTTTGTATTTTACTTCTTAACCGACTATAGATGTAGGTGTGTATGGGTCATAGGAATGAGAACGAGTTGCATGAACTTCAATAAAAATATAGAGTCTTTCTGAAATGTCCAACTCTAAGGTCTAGCAATGTTTCAACAGTTTCAGGATCAGGATGGGTCTGTGTGTCTTGGCTCAGGAGGATTGTGTGCTTGGGTCACTCATAATTGTAATGTACATGCACATTGGCTGCGTTTGGCAGAAAAAAGCGCTAGCAAGCGCTTGTAAGCAAAATGGCGATCGTAAGCGGTAAGCGCTGTCAAATCGTAAGTAGCTATTTTCCTCTAGGACACGAAGTTAGTTTTAACCGGGAAACCTAACCTAATTTAAATATATGTTTGTAAAGTATTCATATTAAAAACTTAACAATCATGAATTTTTAATAACATGTATATGTTTATTCATGTCATTATATTACTTAAAACTAATATTGCACATAACAACTTATAAACTCTACTTCAAAACAAACAAATTAAATAAGCAAAATGGCTGATTGTGTCAGCGCTACTGAAGTTAGCAAACATGTCCTGGCCGAAAACTGTTTAGTTTCGCCATTTTGCCGCCGCTTCGCCATTTACAAGCGCTTGCTGGCGCTTTTTTCTGCCAAACGCACCCATTTTTTTTAGTGTCTAATCGAGTGTCAAAAAATCGAGTAACGTCAGAACGAGTGGAGCGAGGTGTAGTGAAGTGTAGTGAGATGAAGGTGCAGGAGGAGCACGCACCGGTCGTGCAGGTCGCGCCAGAGCGCGGCGACGCGCTCGCTGGCGCCACGGCCGCCCGCCGCCGCGTCGCAGCCGGGGAACTCCACGCGCCGCACGCTCACCGACCGCCGCAGCGCCGTCGCGATGTCCGTCAGCCCTGCGCCTCCAACTTGTTAATGTTTTGTATTTACTGATTAACGGTCACAAACGAGGACACAGTCCCCCTGATGGTAAGTGGATGCTGTTGTCCATATACATCTACATTTATCCTCGATTAAGAATCAAAATGCTGATGCGTTGTCACTCCTGAGGACTAAAGGTCACAGCTCATTAGAGTCACCCGGCACCCGACCCTCACCGCCTCGCCTCATGTGGTTCGTATTTTTCGTATGGATTTGTATGGGCCTGCGCTCACTACATCAACTCCGTACAATCACCAGATGGCCTCGCTCGCGAGGTGTCCACGCGCGGACTGCAAGTGGACCACTCGATGATAGCTCGCTGTTGGCATGCTTGCCTCGCGTGAAGCGCGACCTGGCAACGCGTGGATCACGCGAGTGAGATGCGGCGCTCTTTACCAAGTCACCAACCCTTCATTTCGAGCCTTTCTTTCAAATGTGTCGGACGCATTGTTGTTTGTTCTTAAAGTTAACAAAGAAAAACTTATAGAAGTTCGGAAGTATAATTTATTGTAAGATTTAAGGGTCACTCTTTGATCACGCAAGGTCCACACATTGACGACGCGGGGTCCACTCGATGACCGACCGCGATGGTCCACTTGTCGACTACGAGTGGAAGCCTGGCGACGAGGCGGCGAGGGTCGGGTACCGGGTGGCTCTAATGAGCTGTGAACTTAATATGTCTCATTTCCAGTAAGAAAGTGTCTCCGGTTCTCTAGACTCACCATACGAAACACAGCAGCATTGAGCTGCTTTTTTATGCTAATATTCTATGAGAGCGTGGTCCTACCCCGGTCGAACCGATCCATTCATAATACAACCATAACATAACTCAGCTTGGCTCTACCACCTATATGTTGATGACAATATCGTACCGTGTAGTGGCGGTGTCAAAATATCTACGACCGCATGTCGTCCCATAGTTATCGTAAGAGGCGACAGAGGAAACTGCAACAGGAAATGGGCAGCAGCATCTTTCTGAAAACAACTAAAATAATAAAACACTGCAATTGCCAACCCACCTACCAAGTGTGGCGACTGTGACAAAATCCAAGTGATGTGACAAAAGGAAATTTATGGGGAGGCCTATGTTCAGCAGTGGATTTTTATAGACTGTAATCATTGACCTCTATATATACAAGTACGCTGCACTGGCTATACCATACAAAATGTATCTGCCGATTTGAAGCGCCGCCACTTTACGTACCGGGAAATTACTTATAGGTCAGTTAACTAAAGCTGGCATGTTCACAGTACTCACACTTATGCAATTTCTCTATACAGTATGTTTAAAAATAAATGATTTCGGTTCAAAATGCGACTCTAGTTTAAATGTAGATTAGAGTTAGGTTTTAGTAAGATTAGGTGCGTTGTGGATAAATAAATAAAAAATATGTGTTGCTTGCTATAAAAATATATTATAATTATTACATTATTACTTTTAATCAAAATCATAAATTAAACCTTCTACCCAACTCAAACTTTCATCGCTCGAATAACTAGATGTTTCGCCGTCGGAATTTCCTAGTGTTATTACAAATGAATCAGTGAAATTATCCACTTTTAGTTCCAGTTGTAATATATTTTTCCGGAATATGTTCGCTTTTTACCCGGTGTTCTAAAAGTAACTTGAGCAATGTTTTAGATGCTGGTGGTTCTCCTTCTCCTGAGGTAGATTGTTGTGATGTTGACGCTTCAACGGCCGTTATAACTTGATTGCGTACTTCACAAACAACTCGTTCAACATTTCTCTGGGAAACACCAGTCGCCTCTGATGTCAAACCGTACAAATATTTCATTAAACGATCTCCACCATCACTTTTTTATTATGATGATGCATGAAATAGTTAAAACATTGTACACTATTTTACGAGATTGCCCTGTTAAAGTTCTGCCGGAACCAATTCTTTCAGAAGACATTTTATTCTTAACTCCAAATATGTGAATAATCAAACACGCCGCGCGTCGATCACACGTGACTGACGCTAACGGACCAAAAAGACCACGCTGTATTTATAAACAGTATCAAAAGCAAAACAATCACTGTCCCCTTCACACTCATAAGCTAGATCGCGCGAGATAGAGACGGGCAGACTTTTGATGATGCGCATGCAGTGCGACGTCACGCCAAGGGCTTATTCACAGACACACAAGCGCAACGTGTAAATGTGTTGTACGTGCCAGCTTTAGTTAACTGGACTATACTGTTTACCGTACTATAATTGACATAATACGCCAATCTGTTGTTTTTTAAATCATATCTCTGTATTTCGAACTTATAAACTAAAAAATGAAAGTATTTTATGTGGTTTGATTGTGATTGATTTTGGTTACATAATAAAAATTATTTTAGTAATAATGAGTGAACCTGATGTGTAAAACTCGTTACCAAAAGGAAAGTGGGATAACATTCCACAAGTAAGTGAATTTAAAGCTAATATTAAACAAATTAAAATTATTTGATAACTTTATACTTGAAAATTTGTTACTAATCTTAATATTTATATTACTTAGTTTTAATAGACAGTAAAATTTAATAGGGTTGTCAAGTTCCCTGTGTATAAAACTTATCGATGTTCTTTCCTACCCATATCTGTTAGCAACCAAAGTCGCCAGATATAATACTACAGATAATAATAATAATTATTAGTAATATTTGAAATAATTAGGAAAGCGGGATAACACTTTCTTTTTAGTAACGAGTTTTACATAATATTAGACACACTCTCATTATTACGAAAAATAATTCTTATTACGTAACTAAAATCAAATACAATCGAACCACATAAAATACCTTCATTTTAAGTTTAAAAGTTCAAACTACAGATATATGATTTAAATAACACAACAGACTTTGGCATATTACGTCAATTTTAGTTCCCTGAACGAAAAATGGTGGCGCTTCAAATTGGCACGGACATTTTGTATGGTAATATAGAGGTCAGTAACCTGAATACATCTGCGCGGTACACATCAATTAGTTTCTGCGATATTAGTCACGTGCTGTAAGCCAGTCGGTTTTTATAGCCTTATCTGACTTAATTTACCACTTACCACTACTTCATCACAATAAAAAAGTGAACAATAATGATGATGAGGACGGCTATTATTTTACGATCGTTATCTAATCGCCGTCCGAAAAGGGGTGTCGAGCTCTGGTTTACAGTGTGTACGCGGTATAGACGCATACCCCATGCGGCGCGCCCTATCCTTTGTTCTAACGGTGTTCTCGACACTGTGTGTGTGTGTGTGCGTGTGTGTGCGTGTGTGTGTGTGTGTGTGGGTGTATGTGTGTGTGTGTGCGTGCGTGCGTGCGTGTGTGTGTGTGTGTGTGTGTGTGTGTGTGTGTGTGTGTGTGTGTGTGTGTGTGCGTGTGTGTGTGTGTGGGGGGGTGTATGTGTGTGTGTGTAGTGTTTGTGAGTGATGGGTCGTCAGGGTCGAGCGGCAGGGCGCTAAGCGCTACCTTGCAGGCTGAAGGCGTTGCGGTCGATGTGCAGCGTATGCAGCGTGCAGTTGCACTGCAGTGCCTTGGCCAGCAGGCGCGCGCCCGCGTCGCCTGCCACGTTGCCGCCCACGTCCAGCGTGCGCAGCCGCCGCGCGCCACCTAACGCGTTCAGCAGCCCGTACAGGTCGCCCTGCAACACACCGCACCACCACATCACCACACGCTACTCCCCTCATCCCGTCGTTCTTAAGCGCCCAATATGGCTGTTTTTCTACAGAATAAGGGTGACAAACGAGCACACAGTCCAGCTGATGGTAAGGGGATGCTGTTGCACAAGCTCAATTATTAATCAAAATGCAGATGTGTTGTGTTGTTGTGACCTTTGAAGACTATGATGGAATGCCTCATTTCCAATAATAAAGTTATTTATTTTTTTATTAGAAAACTACCGCATATTTACAATAAAAATATACGACCTTTTAATTACCGAAACTATTAGGGAAACTAAAAATATACAATTAATTAATAAAAGAATCTCGTGCAAAAAAGTTACGTGTACCTAGAGCCTGCCAGTGCCATGTTTATAATAGATTTTTCTACTAAGTTAATATCTTTGTATCATATCTTCCAGTAAATTTCTATACGTTCCACAGTATTAGCAGAATTGACCCCTGGTGTGAGAAATAGTAGCCGAAAACCGCATTTTCCGAAAATTTGTCTACAAGTCTTTTTAGTCGTCACCCTTGATGATTAACTGAGACTTTGTGATGTTAAAAAAAGCTAAAAAATAGTAGTAAATATATTCATAAATATACGTATTAAAATAAATAATTATATAACTACATAGTTAAAACCTGTTTACTTAAATTGTTCTAAAAGCAAAATAATTTTATTTATACATGGTAACTTATCTCGGATTTTTTTAACTAGGTAAACTTATGCTAGTTTTTTATATGTTCACGGAATTAAATCAATCTTATTTCACACGATCTTCTGCCACTATACACGCGGCAGACTAATTAGCGTGGTCATTGCACTTTGCCCCGGTCACTTAATGGGGGTTTGCTTGGTGCTGCCATTTATTTTTAACGGAAACGTCTTTGATAGTTTTTAGAGTTCGTTGTAATGGACATTTTTACTGCATAAATATTTTCAATAAATCATAGTCTAGTTCAACTGGCTAGCTACACCATCCATACATAATAAAATATCAACTTAAAAATGAGTTACCTTCAGTTTACAATCACTAAGATCTAAAGATGTTAAAGCTGTGTCTGGCTCCTGCAGAACATGCACCAATGCCTGCAAAATAAAAATAAAAAAGGCTTGTACATTTAACTTTCCTTTTGAAGATTGACACATTTTATTGTAAACGTGCGTGTTGCCAGTGATGACATTTGGAACTAAGACGTCTTTCACTGCCAGCCACAGGAGAAAGCTTAAGTTTTCTCAGTGAGCTATCGACAGAGCTATGTTCGGCGTTTTTCTCTGTGATAGACTTAAAACGGTAATAACCAAAAATTTGTCTAGAGTATGTGGACTATGAGAAATCCATCGATTCCGTTGAAATTTGGGCGGCGCTGTCCCTTTACCGGTCCCAACTTGACGAAGTGCTGAATTGTTTGTACAGTAGGGCTACGAGGGCTATTCGAGTACAGAACGAGTGTAAAAAATATATGTAACTGCAGAGAGGTGTATGACAGGGTGACTTTATATCGCCGAAACTCTTCACCGCTGCATTGGAATACGTTTTCAAACTACTGAGCTGGAATACGGTATTAACATCAGTGGCGAGTCACTCACCACTCACCTTCACAGATATCACTCACCTACGATTTGCCAACGATATAGTCCTTATGGCAGAATCACTGGAGGACCTGAGCACTATACTCAGTGACCTCAACAGTGCCTCCCAACAGATAGGTCTTAAGAAGAACATGGACAAAGCAAAGATCATACGTAACGTCCAAGCCACACAAACGCCGGTAGTTGTTGGGAGCACTTAGTTCGAAGTTGTTGACGAGTATGCTTACCTGGGAAAAATAATCCGACTAGGTAAGTCAAACTTCGATCGAAAGGTCAATCGACGGATTCAACTCGGCTGGGCTGCGTTTAGGAGATTACGAAACATCTTTTCTCAAAACTTGAAAACAAGATTGTACAACCAAAGCGTATTTCCAGTGATAACTATGGATGTGAGGTCCTTCACTGCTGGCTGTATGAGGAAGCACAAGGTCGTTCAGCGAAATATGGATAGGGCTATGCTCGGGATTTCTCTGTGTGATAAACTTAGAAATAAGGAAATCCACAGTAGAACCAGATCAACCGACATAGCCCAATGGATTAGTAAAATGAAGTGGCAATGGGCCTTCCATATAGCTCGAAGAATCTACGACCGATACCGATACGGGAAGAAAGGTTCTCGAGTGGCAGCCTCGTACCAGTGTAGTCGAAGTGTGGGGCGGCCCCCCACTATATGGAGTGACGACCTGGTAAGACATGCAGGAAGTATATGGATTCAGGTAGCTCAGGTTGTAGCATTTCTTAGGGAGGCTTGCGGAAGGCGTATAAGCCGCAAAGGACCTGTGAAGTATTGTAATGATGATGATGATGGTAATATCCAAAGCAGAACTGAAGTGTCATTAGGTCTGCCATATAGCTCGACAAACCGATAGCCGATAAGGAAGAAAGGTTTTCGAGTGGCAGCCCCATACAGCCGGTAAGGGAAATGTAGGGCGACTCCTCACTAAATGGAGTAATAACATAGCAAGATTTTTTTTACCTGTAGTTAAATATGCAAGTATGCGAAAACTATATTCCATAGACTGTAGATAGAGAAAGGCTAGGATGAATATGAGTAATGTCGTCAGTATGAGTAAATTTAATAAAATATTAGCTTGTACCTTTATGAAAAACCAGGGTTCCGCTGTAGATATTACATAAGCTTATGATTTCCAAGAGTTGTAACAGCTCTAATATTTATTTAAGCATAATAACACACAGTATTCTTATACTGTGTGTACATACAGTCAGTCATCGCGTTTGATGATGACGGAAAAAACTTTTTCATCTAAACTTTTGTCATGACGAATAAAATCATTTGGGTTGCCACAACGGGAAGAAATAAAAATAATAAACAGGTTTTTTTTTAATTCTACGTTTAAACAAATTAAATAAATTAATCATACAATTAATGTTCAGAAATAGTACTTTTGTTGCTAAAAATAACAAGATAGAGTATGTACAATGACAATTACCAACGAACGAACGAACACTCCACACAACGGCCGCGTTAACTGTCAGTATTTTTGATGGGATGAAATTATGCCTTATTCATGGTCACTTAGTCACGTCAATTACGTACGTTAAGCCTACACATTGTCGTTTTGTACCGTGCGTCGTGAATCACCATGACGGTATGTACAGCAAGATGGACCGTGAATAAGGTGCTGTCGTTTCATCTGTCGAACTGATGAGACAGAGATTTACGATTTCAAATTGGAATACAATTTAAGCAGCTTACAACGTAACTTTGTGTATAAACAACTCTCATTGTATTTTTTATCTGAATATATTTTGAAATATAAGTGGAATCTTTCAAGTTGCATACACCCATGTAGTCAAAGATGGCATAGAGATAGTGCCATCAACGACGACGCGCCCCACCAATTTTTGGTCGAGGGGATCACGGGGTGCCGGGAGTTCTTGATTGGTCTATTCATTGTAGTTCATTGCAGTGTGCGCGTCCACTATCGGTAATCTGTGTACCGATAATACTCAAATATTAGCGGAAGCTTGCACAGTTATACTGTAATCGATTAGGATAAATAGTGGGGCGCGTCTTCGTGGATGGCACTGTCTATACCATAGTATACTATAATACATACATAATAGAATGGGGGAGTAGGCGGAGCCCGCGTAGCCACTAAAATGTCACTAACACGTGAATTCACACGTATAAATGTCAACACGAGATGTGTTTTGACGTTACAATCGTTTCCAAATTTCGCATAAAATTATTTAGAAAATGACAAAATGCACCCTATTTACAAATAAATATATATTAAAATTTAAACGATTTTTTTTAATGATGAATATTAAAGTCTAAAATGTGTTAATTTACTCAGTCTGTCAATACAGCGAATCGGGTTTGGCGACGCCATTCTATTGTGTATTATAGTGTTCTATGGTCTATACACACAAAATTGCGTTATTGAGGTTATCATCGAATGACTGATAAGTGAATGTTCGGCGGTTAGGAAGCGCACCGCCCGCGCCTCACCCCGCACCATACCGCGCCCCGTCTAACGTATTTGATGATGTACTTTGATGTATGTACAACTTATACTGTAGCATAATATATTGTTTAACTATATTTACCAATGAATGGTATAAAGAAAATTAGACAAGTATTAATATCACTTACTTGTATTAAAGGTGGAGCATAAGACCTTTTCCCTGTTAGTCTGCTTAACGATAAATGAGTTATAGAGTGATTCTTTCCTATAGCTCTCACTATCCCTGATAATTCATATTCCATACCTGAAAAATATTATGATCGCTTTTGACTGTGTTATGCGTAACAGACTATGTGGTTGGCGACAATTTATAATATCAACATCACAATAATATTTAAAGTTATCAGCTCAAGATCGTTGCTAATGTATCAGTAAACACAAAGACCCTTCTTCCCTTATTACTACAGTGTCCAGATCATCGTACATTATCGTATTTGCGTAGTGAGTGACTCTCTTAAATCATCAGATAGTTTTCAGAATTATTGTTCATGAAAAATATAGAAACAATATAAGTATGTATTTTAATTTAGTTCAGTATTTTAGTTTACTTAATGACGATCTGCTTTGTTATTTTTGAAAATTAAAAAACGATGAATGATGATAATGAATTGATGAGTTTCGCGTTGTTAAGCTAAGGTCTGAGGTGTGCTAAAGGCCGAATAACCGTAGACAACAGTAACATGGTAACATGGCAACATGGTCTTAATGCCTGTCTGGCATAAAGTTATGTACCCATGTTGGGAAATGTGTGAATGCCTCCTGCAATGCTCACTGTTGTCGGAGAGGTCGAGTGCCTGCAGGCAGCGCACGCCGGGGATGCAAGACTCCAGCACGTGCGCGGCCTGCGCCGAACTCAGCACGCCCGCCAGGTTCAGCTTCACGCCCGCCGCGCTCTCGTTGCACGCCAGCCCCAGCAGCAGGCTCCTGCGCACAACGCCACCCTCGTCTGAGTGCTGTCATCTCAAACACAACTTCACAAATCATATTACATATATTTGTCCTAGTGCGATCACAGAAATACGCAGATCTTGATCTGCCTGGGTATTTAATGTTACGCAGACATTTCATGATTTGAGGATACAAAATGTACCTATCAAGTAAAAAAAAAACGAAGCTCAGAAAAATCACGACCTGCCCAATTTTACGATCAGATACCTCGTAATCATAAAATTTCATTTATAAGGAGTATAATATAGAAGCCACAGGGGTAGGTAACCTTTTTTATACATACATGGAAACATTTTTCAGAGTTTTACTGAAGCCATAGGCATAAGCATATTTTTATTTTCGGACGGTAAACATAAGACATTATCTGTTCTTAAATTCACCAAATGACAAAAAATTAAAACCTTATTAAATAAAGCCTAACTTACTTGAGAACATCAGGCGGCATCTTGCAGTGAGAGAAGTCGAGGTCGGCAAGCGCGAGGCAGGCGGTGAAGAACTGCCGGAAAGATGGCGGTGGATCCCGGGGTCTACGCGCTGCTGACCACGGATTTCGTCCAACCAGTAGCGAAGATAACCGCGCCGCACACCCACGCAATAACGCACCCCAAATCTATTAATCATAATGATGATAATGAAATCTATCAACTACTACAAAAGCAAAACATACTGTTGCGCGCTATAATTAACGCCTGGTATGTGGCGGCTGATTATTAGCACCATCTGGTATCAAGCAGCAGAAATAGGAGTGTCAAGATCTTTCTAGAACTCTCCCACTAGCGCCATTTAGTATCGAATGGAAGAACTAAGCTTTCTAGAAAGCCCCACACTCGAACTTTCTGCACCTGGTCGGTCAGGGCCGGTATTTGCTGGAATATTCCGAATGTTTCGGTGAAGAAGGTCTATGTAAGGCCTTTAGGGGGCCGCGAACGAGCAATATTGAATTGGCGATACGAGCGAAGCTTTCGAAGCGAAAGAAAGTGAACTAAAATGTTAAGTGTGATTAATTATTAGTGTGATTTAAGTTTTAATTGGTGTTAAGTAATTAAAGTGTCAAGATTTGGTAATTCAATCGGCAGTTTTTATTGTCACGAACCCTAAGCTCGTAACAATACTATTACTATAGTTTAAAGAGAGTCAACAGTTAGAAACGAATGTACTTGTGCAGAACAGCGGCGGGGTCCTTGTGCGGTAGTGTGACGGCGCGACAGTTTGCCAGCGCATTCTACATTTTTTTATGTGAATTAATTATAACAAAATGCCATACAATGCAAAAAAATCAGTCCGGCTAATTTAAGATCAACGGTTTTCTTCATAACTATTGTTGATGTTGATTTAGTTATATGTCATTAAAATTTTTGTGTGTCTGTCTGTCCAAGCTTATTTCGAATGACTGAAACGATTGTAATACAACTTCACGAACAAATGGAGAGCAATACGAGGAGTGATTCAAACTAAATTTTATCCGAAAAATGTTAAGATTTTATTAAAATAGAAATATTTATTAGCTAAAATAAACGGTTTTTAATGATTATATTCAGTCTAAATGACGCCATATGAACAGATACCACTCAGCCGAAGCCTCTGGCTTCGGTGAAAATATTTATTTATTTTATAATCATTTTTCTTGCAATCATTTTATATGTGGTAGGGCCATGCTGCAGTTATATTAGTAATATAGTTGTAGCACGAATGGGTCGGCTCGACAGGGGAAGGACCGCGCTCTCACAGAATACCAGCGTAAAATAGTAGCTTAATGCTATTGTGTTTCGTGTGGTGAGTGTAGAGAACCGGAGACCCTTTTTTACTGGATACGAGGCATTCCAACTTAGTCATTACGGGTGATAACACATCTGAATTTTGATTCGTCATCGAGGGTAGATGTAGATGTCTATGGACCACAGCAACCATTTACCATCAGGTGGACTGTGTGCTCGTTTGTGAACCTATCCTATAAAAAAAAATTAAAATAGTTACAGGTACATAATCAAGTTCTATATTATAAAAATTCAAAAAAGAACTATCAGATAAATATCTGTGCACTCGAATTATTGTAATTAAAGTGGAAGATAATGATTGCAGAAAGACTAATTGTTCTTTATTTTCAGGCAGTAGTTTTCCCTTTTCCCCTTAGTCTTTAGTCCTTAGTCCCTTTTCTTCTCGTAGACAATCCCAGATTCAGAGAATAGACGCTCTGAACACTAAACAATTTTGCCTAATATTCGGCTATTTGGGCAGGAAATCCGCAGAATATTCGGTATTCGGAGTGTAATCGAATATAATGTTCGTTGAAAATTTTCAGGGAGACACTACTGCTCATCTACTATTTTATATCTTCTTTCGGGTCTTATGACATATACGAGATAAGGGGTAGTGAATTTTTTTACGCCGCGCCTACAAACTAACATGCCGGTCTGGTCTACGTATATAAAAAATTAGGTACTTACATTTTCAAGCATTGTTTCGGTGTTAGTCAAATTTAAATACGTCAAAACGTTCGGCTGTGCAAGAAAATTGTACAGATTCTGAAATGAGAAAAAAAAACATCAAGAAAAAGTTTTCTAAGTTTTCTTTTAAAATGTAATATAAATAAACTTACATGTACATCATCTTTTAAATTATTATTGGATAGATCCAGGTGTGACAACGTAGAGAGATGGCATGGATTATCATTCAACATGGCGGCAAGATGGTTAACAGACTTTCCCGTGAGACCGCATTGCGACAATGCGATGTTCCGCAGGCCGTCTGGGTTGTTCGCCAGGCCCGTCAGTATACTAATGGCGCCTAGAAAAGAAACGTGTAATATTTAAGAGTGACCATGTCAATATCTTCGAGAGTCCTATTATATATGTTTAAATTTAATACTTTTTTTTAGAACTGAAGCTCCTTTACACGAGTAAATAGGCATTCTATTTTAATTCATAGGGGAGATAACGATATGATAATATTTCGAATTCTTCCTTGGTCCAAGGATCGAATGTTAAAACGAACTCCTTTTTTTTTAGCGAAAAAATTAATGGCATTAGGTTCTAGTTGTGTTATGATTGGCACCGTTATTTGAAATTCACGGAAAGATAACGCATAATATAATTGAAAAAAAAAATTAGACTTGAAAAAAAAGCTTAAAAAGAACTCAAAGAACAAAAAAATTTTTTTTTTAAATTCAGCCTTTACTTTTTCTTGAAAGGGTAATTTTTGAATTTTTTGAGCGGACAGGAATATCAGAAGCTCGAATGTCGTTTAATATTAAAAATGTCATTTTCTACTTTTTCCAACATTAGGGGTAGAATTTTTTTTCAAATTTCGTAAGACCCCCTTTTTAATAAAAAAAGAAACGTTAAAATATCTGGTATTTACATAAAAAGATAGGAAAAAGATATTCGAAACAAGAATCTCCCCCTGTTTTGAAGTCAGCTTTGAAGAATTACAGTCGAATTGACAACATCTTCTTTTTTAAGCCAGCTAAGAATACGACAAACACGATATTTGTCACCTATTTTTCTTTAGTAATGGGCTGTTGTACTAATTCCAGTGTCAATAAATAAGAAATTATCTTTATTATAATTAGTTTCAAAATATGTTGATGCGTCACATTGCGAAGTTTTGGGGTGAATTTGATGGCAGCTTGAGCCAGCACAGTCGATGACTACTACAAAGAAGACACAATAACTAAGGGCATATGCTAATGGCGGCTGTACACTCGACGAGAGCACTCGCCATGCCTCTCGCGAGCCTATCGCGCGAGACAGCACTTTCACGTGTGTGACCTTGTACATTCTCGTTTATTCAGTTAGGGTGAGGGACGGCGAGGAGATGGACGCATGATTTCGGACGGATGAATTTTTGTCTTTGTGGTAACGATGCGTGGGCTCCCACAAAATAGGTTCACTTTGATAAATTCAAGAAAATTGAGTTTGCTCTCTGGGTTCCCAATGATAAGTTTGTGGTAGTAGGATAACCAAATATACCGCACGCGAAAACGTCTTGCGGTAGACTGAACGAAGCGCAAGTGTACAGTGACGCACTCGTATTCACTTGCGAGGGACGACATGGCCCTTTGACTCGCGCACCAAAAACCAACACAAGCACGAGAGGGAAGGCAAGGTTCATCGAAAATATCCTGTACACTCTCGTCCTCGCCTTGCCTCGTGGGCCCTCATCGAGAGTGTACAGCCGCCATAATACGCATCACCATCGGAGCATTTGTTTCATCATTCTCAATAATAGTTCACATGCACTGACATTTAACAGACAAAATCGCTCCACTTTTATGTATCAATACCAAATTCAAACCATTTTTCAAACGATAAAATAGGGAGCAGCAATCCACCGGTGGCGACGGTCAAGTACGGATAAGTGGGGTAGTGGGTGTAGTGACCTTTGTCCTCGATGTGGTTCTGCGAGAAGTCTACGGTGTGCATGGCGGGCGGCAGACGGGCGCGCGCGAGCGCGTGTCCGAGGCGCGCGGCGTGGTCGTGACGCAGCGCGGCGCCGCGCCAGCTGAGCCGCTGCGGCGGCGGCGCGGCGCAGCGCACCACGCGCGCCAGCGCCTCCCACGCCTCGCCGCCCACGCGCACGCCGTCGCCGCACACGCCCTCGAACCACGTGTTGTGCTGCAGCGCGATCACCAACGGTATCAGGTCCCTGCCGGCACCAACACCACATTTTTTACTACTTTTTTTTTCTATAGGATATGGATGACAAACTAGCACACGGTCTAACCTGATGGTAAGTGGATGCTGTGACCCATAGACATCTAAATTTATCCTCGTTAAAGAATGAAAATGCAGATGCGTTGTCATCCTTGAGGACTAAGATTGAATGCCTCATTTCAAATAAAAAGGGTCTCTGATTCTCTACCCTCACCATACGATGCCCAGCATCCTTGAGCTGCTATTTTACGCTGGTATTCAGTCAGAACGTGGTGCGACCCCGTCGAGCACACCTATTCGTGCTATAATTAATATATATTATAAGCCAGGACCATCTAGCGGCTGTGTAAGACCTACCATTCTGCAAGTTGTCGTAAGAGGCGACACGAAGAGGGAAACTGAAACATGAGTTGGGCAGTAGCATATTTCTGATAGCAACTGTATAAAACATAAAAAGTGCGGTTGCCAACACGCTTGCCAAGCGCGGCGACTACGGCAAATGTTGTTCATCATTGGACTTTTGATAGGTTGTAACAGTAAGCCAGTGCTTGGCTACTATCCCTCCACTCCTTAACAAAAACACACCTCCACTTAGCTTAACAAAAACCTATTTACTCTTGCCTTGACGACACCCGTAATGAAAATATACTAATTTCGCCGACACAATTGCATATATACAGGTCTACTATTAAACCTAAAAGATGTATAGAACGTGATATTTTTGCGACGGAAGGCTCCACCTTGATTAGGGTATTCCTGTATTTCAGATATTACTGATGCTCGCTCGCTATATAAACGCGCGAAACACGTGTCGTATTATCGTCGATGGTGTGTCTTTCCTAGAATAGTGGTGTTGGGAGTAGTGGCATTGGGAGTAGTGGTGCTGGTATTAGTGGTGACGGGATTAGTGGACGCAATTGAGGGAGGGCGGGTGGTGCTCTTCAAACTAGAGAAGACACATCATTTTATTTAATTTAGCGGATGGTTGCAAAATAACTATTAATATCTTTATTATAATGGATTTCCGCAAAGTAACGCCTGATTCTATCAATTATTTTACATTTAATTAAATATACGTATTTAACAGTAATATACTTATTTTATAAATATTTCGATTTTTAACCCGGAGTTTGGCGTTATTAGGTGAAATAAAATATAAGTAGTAGGATAAGTGTGTGTGTGTGTATGTGTTAGTTTACGAGTAATTGAATGATTCATGGTCTTCATAATTGGGATTCGTTAGATAATTTTTGACAGATAACTTACGTTTGTATATTTTTAATTCAAAGTTTGCAGTACTTAACCACGTATACCCATTGCTTTCAGCTTCTTTATTTACATGTTGGTAGAAACTGTGATAAACGCCTTAGCCAAGTCCAAAAAGCGACTATGTATTTACGGCCAGTATCTAAATTTTTATTGCAACATAAGTGGAGAGGTGAGTAATTGCATCTTCTATAGACTTATTGTGTTGAAAACCATATTGTGATTCAGAGACGACATTTCTTGAAAAGCTTTTAAGCAAGTGCTTTCGACAACGCAGTTCCAAGTGAAATTGGGCGATAATTTTCGACACAAAGTCCGTTCCCCTTTTTTGAATGGGATGTTTTATTGAATGTTTAAGGCTGTTGGAGATTATACCACTGTTTAAAGAGATTACCTATGAATGGTAATATATAGTACAAAAATATCGTCGTTAATACGTTTTAGGAAAACTACAAATATGCAATCGCTGCATATTTGTAGTTTTGCAGGATGATTTCACAAATTAAAAAACAGACCCTCCTCAACTTACGTTTTGTCTGTTTCGATCAGCACAAAATATTTGAAATGGGAAGAACCCTTAAGAGGATTGTGAAGTGCCGATGTACGACACAAGTGTGTCATGAGATGTAAGACACGAGAGAGTTGCAAGTCTTGGAGGCAATTGCCTACATTTCCTTTTTGAAATATTGTTTCGGGTGGTAACGTTTTCACCCACTAAACCTTTACAAAGTGAGACTGACTGAATCTGTAAGTTTTTCTTTCTTAATAATTCTGTTTAGTTTAATTTTAAAAAATACAAACACTCGAAGAAGTTTTTAGGTCAAAAATATAGATATTAAGATGTTAATAACTTATATCGTACGCAATATTTCTTTAAAATAAAAACGTACGGACCAATTTTTCATTATATCTACAACATTTACAAAAATTATGATAATTATACTATGTTTACTGGGGAAAACGTTATAGCTTTTAGTATGAAAATTTACAGCACAATCCTCTTAATATAGTAATTTATTTTTGTTACGTTATTACTTTAATGAACTTTATCAGCAAGATTTTGGCCAGTTTTGGCTAAGTACTTACATATTTTATTTACAGCCAGCATTATCTTAACATATATTCAAGATTTTTTTGCGTGGTATTTAGGTATTTTCTGGGGTGGCAGTAATTTTATGTATCGATTTCCAGATTTGTTAAGAATTTTTTAATTTGTCAATCTCCGAGTTTTCCTACTTTAATTTAAGTTAATGTAACAGAAATACAGAAAAGTTTATTAGATTATATTAAAAATTAAATAACAGTCAATTAAAAACCAATTATCATGTATTTTAGTTTCACAGATTTTAATCCTTTAGGCAGGTACCCTCATGATTTACCAAATAATATTGTCACAATTTGAAATAATAATAATGTCCTCCAGATCGAATTTCAGCCACGGCGGCCTGCCTCAACGGAGACTAGCCAGCGGCGCAGGACAGGATTATAGTGCCCAAGTGTATGCGCAAGCACAGGTGCACTCTCTATTCTCTCACTCTCATAATCCGATGGGACGGTAAACCGACACGACCGGAGAGAGATCAGGCGCAGGACCAACGGCTTTACGTCAGAGACACCGCCAGCTTCCTGACTCCGGGCAACTACTGAAAATTTCAAGTAGTCATGAAGGCCGTGAAGAAAGGCGCACTTTGTGTTCCGGTGCGCCTTGTCTTCTTCTTTTTCATCCATTTATCCAGGAATCTCGTTTTACCCTATCCAGGGTCGCCAGGGGCGGATGACGGTGGTGGAATCGCAGATGTGCGAAAACGCACCCGTGGCCCTGACAATATGCGGCGAAGGTGAAACAGCTTCCGGGCCTTAGTCGGAATATTTTACTTCATGTTATTTGTGTCAGTTTGCATATAATGCACTGACAACATGTATCATTTTGATGCTACAGTTTATGTTTATTGGCATGTAAATTAGACGGTAGTGTTATAACTCCAAGCCAGTCATGCAAAATTACACTAACTACGTGCTGTTACGATAAAGTATGTAACCAATCATATTATGTAATTAACAAATATATTGTAGTTTGTTAAAGCTTTAGGAGGGGATAAGTCTTAGGTAACATATTATGTGAAATTCGTTATAATTACTAATGTGAACAACTGCATGCATGGCCATATGACGAAACCAAATCCTAAAGGATAAGCGTGCTAATTATAGCAGATCTTTCAAAAAATGTGTAATTTGGCGCATTGTTAAAAAGACTTTCTAATAATGGATTTGGAAGGAAGATCATAATGTCCCTTAGACGACATTACGCTCCGGGAGCCAGTCTTAACGCAGATTAGCATGTACAGGACGTGGTTATAGTGCACGAGTGCATGCGCAAGCATAGGTGCACTCCCTCTTCTTCACTCTATAGTATAAATAGATGGCGACGTGTGTTCTATTATGTGAATACTTGGTCGAGGAGTCTTTTCATTAGGTGTCAACACTCATGCAAACACAATCTTGTTTTCTGTGGACGTTGTTAATTTTTATTTTTATACGTGGTAGAGCCATGCTGCAGTTATATTAGCAGTATAGTTGTAGCAAGAATGGGTCAGCTCAACCAAGGAACGACCACGCTCTCAGAGAATACCAGCATAAAATAGTAGCTTAATGTGTTTCGATTGCCGCCGCGTAGCACGCATGCCGTGTAGTGGCGGTTGAGAATATCCACTACCCCATATCTTCCTGTGGTTGTCGTAAGAGGCGACAGAGGGAGACAGGCAGGAGATGGGCAGCAGCATCTTTCCTGATAACAACTGTGTTATAATAAAAAACTGCGGTTGCCAACCCGCTCGCCAAGCGTGGCAACTATGGCAAATATCCCCCCATGAATAACGACGCAAACAAACGGCCCCCAGTCCCCAGCGGCCCCGCTATTCCTGGCTACAGTGGCGACCATGGTAACGGCGGGGCAGGGGGTGCTAAGAATCCCTTCTTGCACCTACGACGACTCGACCTGGCAACATATAACGCACGCACCCTGAGGACTGACGAGAAGATACTGGAGCTGGAAAAAGAGGTAGACAAGTTGCGCTGGCATATTATTGGATTATCCGAGGTCCGAAGAGAGGGGGAGGACACGGTAATCCTCGAGACTAGCAACTTGTTCTATCACCGGGAGGGCGACCATCTGTCCCAAGGAGGTATCGGATTTATCGTCCACAAGTCTCTCGTCAATAACGTTGTAAAGATTGGGAGTGTGTCAATGAGGGTCGCATACCTGATACTCAGAATCACCAAACGGTATTCGCTGAAGGTCATACAGGTTTGCGCACCAACCTCGGCGTCTTCCTCGTTCCGCCTCCGTCGTTCTCATCGGGAGAAGGTAGAGGAAATGTACGAGGATATTTCCAGAGCCATGCATTCCTCCAAAACCTACTACACGGTGTTGATGGGAGACTTCAGCGCAAAACTAGGCACAAGAGATAACGGTGAGCTGAAGTTTGGATGAAATTTGGAGTGGGGCAACGGAACCGAAGGGGCCAGCAGCTGGCCGACTTTATGGAGAAAGAGGGACTCCTTTATGATGAACTCTTTCTTCCAGAAGCGGCCCCACAGGAAGTGGACCTGGTCGAGCCCCGACGGTTCGACAAAAAATGAGATTAATTTCATTATGATCACCAGACGCCAACTGTTCAGTGACGTCTCAGTGATCGCAAGGGTGAAAACCGGCAGCGATCACCGAATGTTTAAAGGCACACTGAACCTAAACGTTAAGTTGGAGAGGTCTCGTCTAATGAAGTCAACGCTCCGTCCCCCTCGTGCTCTAATCCAGAATCCCGAAACCTTTCAGCTCGAGTTACGTAACCGCTTTCAGTGCCTAGAAGATTGCAATGCAGTGGACGATATGAATGACAAGCTCGTGGAAACTGTCCATGCGGTCGGAGCTAAGTTCTGCAAGACCCACCGCAGAAGAACACAAAAACTCTCCGATCACACTCTTAATCTCATGGCTGTTAGACGGGAGATATGGCTGCAATCGTCAACAGATTTGACAGCATACAGGCAACTGAACAGACAGATCTCCAAATGCATGCGGCGAGACTTGCGCAACTTTAATACTGCTCGTATTCAAGAAGCGATCGAGCGGAACCAGGGCTCCAAAGTCTTTGCCAGAGATCTGTCTGCCAGAAAGAGCCAACTGTCAAAGCTGAAGACTGAATGTGGCAGCATCGTTTGACACCTGAGATTTTGAGTGAGATTGAGAGGTTCTATGGGCAGCTGCACACATCATCGTTGGAGCCACACACAAGTGTGGGTAACGATCCAAGAGCAAGTCTTATCCGACACTATTCCGATGATATCCCGGACGTCAGTCTGAGCGAGATTAGAATGGCTCTCCAGCACCTTAAAAACGGCAGGGCCCCAGGCGAAGATGGAATTACAGCGGAGCTTCTGAAAGCGGGTGGAACACCGGTACTTGAAGTCCTTCAGAAGCTCTTCAATTCCGTCCTCCATGGTGGCACTACTCCGGAAGCGTGGAGCAGAAGTGCGGTGGTCTTGTTCTTTAAGAAAGGCGACAACGCTCTCTTGAAGAACTACAGACCGATTTCCCTTCTGAGCCGCGTCTACGTGCTGTCTTCGAGAGTCATTACGAATCGTCTCGCACGCAGACTTGAGGACTTCCAGCCTCCCGAACAAGCCGGTTTCCGAAAAGGCTTCAGTACCATAACCCACATACATACCCTGCGGCAGATTGTACAGAAGACCGAAGAGTACAATCTGCCACTTTGCCTGGCGTATGTGGACTATGAGAAAGCCTTTGATTCCGTCGAAATTTGGGCGGTGCTACACTCCCTTCAGCGGTGCCAAGTTGACTGTCGGTATATCGAAGTGCTGTAGTGTTTGTACAGTAGGGCTACGATGGCTATCCGAGTACAGAACCAGAGTTCGAAACTATTCAACTGCAGTGAGATGTAAGACAGGGTGACGTTATATCCCCAAAACTCTTCACCGCTGCGTTGGAAGACGTTTTCTAGCTACTGGACTGGAAAGGATACGGTATTAACATCAATGGCGAGTACATCACTCACCTTAGATTTGCTGACGATATAGTCCTTATGGCAGAATCGCTGGAGGACCTTAGCACTATGCTCAATGACCTCAATGGTGTCTCCCAACGGATAGGTCTTAAAATGAACATGGACAAAACAAAGATCATGTTTAATGTCCATGTTACACCTACGCCGGTAGTTGTTGGGAGCACTATGCTCGAAGTTGTTGACGAGTACATTTACCTGGGACAAATAGTCCGACTAGGTAAGTCCAACTTCGACCGAGAGGTCAATCGACGGATTCAACTCGGCTGGGCAGCGTTCGGGAAATTACGACACATCTTCTCGTCAGGTATACCTCAATCTCTGAAAACTAAAGTGTACAACCAGGGCGTGTTGCCAGTGATGACTTACGGATCTGAGACGTGGTTCCTTCACTGCTGGCCGTATGAGGACGCTCAAGGTCACTCAGCGAGCTATGGAGAGGGCCATGCTCAGAGTTTCTCTGTGTGATAGACTCAGAACTGAGGATATCCGCAGTAAAACCAGAGTGACAGACATTATAATTTATTATAATTAGTAAGCTGAAGTGGCAATGGGCCGGCCATATAGCTCGAAGAACCAATAACCGATGGGGAAGAAAGGTTCTCGAGTGGCAGCCTCGTACCGGTAGGCGTAGTGTAGGGCGACCCCCACTAGATGGAGTGACGACCTGGTAAGACATGCAGGAAGTCGATGGATGCAGGTGGCTCAGGACCGTGCTTTGTAGCATTACTTGGGGGAGGCCTATGTTCAGCAGTGGACTTGTGAAGGGCTGTAATGATGATGATGATGATGTGTTTCGATTGGTGAGTGTAGAGAACCTAAGACCCTTTTTACTGGAAACAAGGCATTCCATCTTAGTCCTCAGGCGTAACAACGCATCTGCATTTTGATTTGTAATCGAGGATAGATGTAGATGTCTATGAGCCGCAGCAACCACTTACCATCAGGTAGACTGTGTGCTAGTTTGTCACCCTATCCTTTTAAAAAAAATGTCCACGTGTTTCTGATACTACATTCCAATAGCATTTCTCCGATATTATCGCGACAGTTACTTTGGAGACGATTTTGTTAAGAGTTAGGAGAATTGAGTACCTATGTAAATTTGTGGCAATGTTGCGCAATTAATAGCTTCTGATTTCCAATTAGTTGTCAGCCAGGAACAAACAAACGAAGCAATAAGCGAAGGACTTTTGTTTTAGGTGAAACTTTCCATTAACACCCTATCGATGCTGTATACCTATTTTTTAATTAGGCAATTTAGATTTATTCCAATAGCGACGCCATAAACACCACAAGCTTAATCTGTAATTGGCAACCGCTTATGATTCGTTCTAGTTTAAAAATAAATTTTTTTTGACCGTATATTTTTATTTTTGTTGTTAATAAAATGAAAAAAATTCATTACCTTTGATCCAAATGATCGAAATCTTTTAAATGCAACATTCTTATATCGTGTGCTAAATATATCGTGTCGATGTCCCAGGCCACCTCTGCCCTAAAAAGAAAAATAAGGCTTAGATCAAAGCAATTCTCGATAATTAGAATAGAAAAGACGGAAACGTTACCTAAATGGCGTTTGACATAAGTCGCACATAGCAGCATATTGATTAGAGAAATCTCCGCACGTTGAATGTTTTCGTGTACCAGTGACCGGCTGTATTTGAAAAGGTAAGTTAACCTGCAAAAAACATATATTCAA